AAAAAAAAAAAAAAAAGGGTTGGGGATACAGCTCTGTGCAAAGGTCTTGAGTTCAATCCCCAGTATGGAGAGGAAAAAAAGGAACAAAATACTGATACACTGATGCATCCTACAACATGGATAAACTTAAGAGACGTTATGTGCAGCGATGAGCCTAATGCAAGACTACATACTGCCGTATTTCACTTTTGTGAAACAGCAGATGCACAGATACAGACACCAGCAAGGTCTGCCTGGCTCTAGGGGATGGATGCACTGACCGACTGTAAAGAGGCTCCCAGGGATTTGCAGGGGAAATGTAAAACCAGATTCACGGTTACCTGAACTGCATAGTAAAACCCTATCTCAAAAAGACCAAAAAACCAGTAAGGAGGCCTACCCACAGCAAAGACCAACTTTTGTAGGCACGCATTCGTACACAGAAATGGATGTGATCACCTGGAGAGGAAACAAAGTAGGAGGGGAAAGAGGAGGGACAAGGGACAAGTGAAGAAGCCAGGAAATAGCATGAGAGAAGGATCAAGTGAAAGAAGAACAGCCACGAAGGAGACTCAGCCAGTAAGCAGCCAGTAAGGTGAAAGCAAACAAAATGTGGGATGAACAGTTTCTTAGGGACAAAAAGAGTAAGGTCCCCAGGGTCACAGGGGCCCAAAGATCTGCAGAGCTGGAGCCTACATGGATACTGCATTTGGAAACCCTAAGGTCCCTGGTGAGAGCAGTTCCAGGAGCTAGAACAATTTTGGTAGGGGATGTGAAGAGGAAGAAGTGAAGTGAGGGTTGCTGTGTAGGTAAAAGGGAGTGGCCACATTATGCTCCTTTGACCTGAACAGGCTGCTGTGCCCTCACTTGAGGGGCAGAGCAGAGCCCAAGATCAGAGTACAATTCTGTGCTCAACGGGTTTCTCCAGGTCTCAGCTGATGCTTACATGGGGGACACCAAGAGGCTCAGAGGACAGGGTAGGCTGGAACCACCTCAGTGCTGCACTGTGCACCCTCACATGGCCCCAGCTCGACCAGAAAGCTCCTGATCCTCACCTGCTTACCCTCCAGGTCTGTGGATGACAGCAACTCAGCCCGTTTCCCAATGATATTAATTTTATCTTCTAAGTGGTTAGCCTTGAAGATCTTAGGGGAAAAAAAAAAAAAACATGTTAACTATTTATACTAAAGTACTGTTTTGTCCTGGCGGTGGGGGGCACCCTCTTGGGCAGGGGTATAGCTCAGTGGTGGACCACTTGGCTAGTTCGCATAGAGACCTAAGTTTCATCTCCAGCACTAAAACTGAAACAATTCTCAAAGTCACCTTCTCGGAGTTTTCTGGCCAAACAGCCCTGAAGCACTTTTCCTGCTTTGTGGAAATTCCTTTTGAGAGGCCTCTTACTGACTAGGGATGAGGTCATGAATAAAATGCTATAGGAGCAAGACATTTCTCTTGCAGGTACATGGGAGGCCCTAGCAAGAGGCTTGCAGTTCTGATGGAGAGGAAATCAAACCTATTTCTGACAGAGAAAGAAATATCCTCTCCAGGCCAGCTGCAAGCAGTGACTCCCTGGGCACTGATGTCTCATTCAGGTTTAGAGCTGCAAAGACCTTAGTTTTATGTGAAATGAGAAGAAAAGCCTAAACTACTTCAGGCACAAAAATCAAAGCAGAGTCCAAATATTTGCTTCTATTTCAATGCCAGCCCTAAAGTGCTCCCAGTCCAGCTCTCCAGGGAGGTACCACACCACAAAGGAGGGTTCTCTGTGCATCAGCTCCTCCCAGTTCCTTGCGACTAATGCTGCTGCAGAGTCACCCATCCCAGACTCAGGAAGGAAGGCCTCAAAGGCCCCCTCGTTAATTCAGTAACAACAATTATCACTTACTTTTTCCATCAGCTTATGGGAAACTGCCGAACTCTCAACTGTAAATACCTAAAGAGAATACCACACCATGAGTTACTACAGATTACTTAACTGAGGAAGAAATGCAAGATGAAAATGTGTTGAGACCATTCCAAGGCAGAAGTCGCTGCCTAACAACTCTTCCTCTGCTCAATACCTACCTGGGACAGCACCCACACTAGCAGGGTGGCCAACTCAACTTGTTGTTGACCATGGCAAGGTGGCCAACTCAACTTGAGCTGTAGTTAGCTCCGTGGCAGTACCTATCACCTGCCTCCTGCTGGCATGTGGCAGGCAGGAGAATCCCTAAGTCCCCAGATTAAGCACACTTCACACACAATAGTTGTACTTGTAAAATGTTTTGATCACAGAGCCATGCAATTCCCTAATTCAAGAACTGACCTCAAAAAAGTTAAGAAATAAAAGACACAGATAGAAAGGGAGAGACAGAAGCCAACCGTAGGAGGCCAACAGAAAGCTATGAGCCCAGTACCTGCTTTGCTCCAAGGTGATGGGCCAACATGGAGAGCAGACTGCCGTCACTGATGCAGAGGCAGACACTGTTTGGCATCAGCGCCTGTGGAGAAAATGCAGGTTTGGCACATTTTCTTGGTCTACCAGGGGATTCTTACTGGCAAACTGACAGAAATGTTTCTCTTCCCAAACCCCACACTCACAGAGACTCTAACATTAAATCATTAAAGGTCTCTTCCCATCCTCCCCACCACTGGCCTGAAACCTCCTGGGCCCATGCAGTAACCTGCTGCCACCTTACTCATGTCTCCTCTCCCCACCAGTGGAAGGCCCTCCTTAATCCAACTAGAAGATCCAGATGAAGGTGGGCCCCACTTGCAAAAAGCCATCTCCCTTTGACAGGTTTCTTTGCTGTCTGGCTCATGTGTTTTCAAACGACTCCCCAAAGCCCGAGTGCCCTTATGAGTCAAAGACTCCTTGGAGAGGAACTCATGAACAACTTGGATCCTTCCTCCTCCTGATAAAAGCATGCATGTGCAAACGCGCATTATGTATTCCTATATACAACTCCCAAGGGGTTTAGAAGCCTCCTCTATACTGCAAATGAGGTTTCCAGGCTAAGCCTCCACTATAGGCAGCAAGGAACAAAGGCTTTCAGGTCAGAGTTTCACAATCAGATTTACATTTTAGGCCATTTTAGAAAAGCACAGTAGCTGAAAAGAGGAAAAGGGTGAGGGCAGTCATCAGACTCACCCATATCAACTGTTGGTGACCACAAAGGCAAGGTATCCAGCAGGACAAGTGCAGGCTGGGAAGGCTCTCACAGGAGCAGAAAACAAGCCCTTCTGAAGTCTAAAGCCCTTCTGAGTCTCTGCCGTTCTGGTGTCCACCCCACATGGACCCAGCAAAAGCCATATAAACAAGGGAATACAACAAAACCAGCAAGTCGTAAGAGAGTGCTAGACAGAACATGGAAACAAGGGGCTGGAAACTTACAGTCCTCAGGGCCTGGGCATACTGATCAGTTCTGCCCTGATCATTGATCTCTCCAAACCGAGGCCGGTTCCAGAGCAGGTGAGCCTGGCAGTCACACACAGGTCGCATTTGATGGACTGTCTCATTTTCTTCAGGGCTAGATGAAGAGATGAAGGAGATGAAGACATACCAGAGAGCATGAGGGATGGCACTGAGACCTGCCCAGCAGAATGCAACCTGGGCCTTCAATAGTTCTCTAGAAGGCACTAATCTGGACACTTAGCTCTTGAATGGGTAATGAGGATTGCAGGGCTCTCATACTACAGGGTTTTTATGTATATCTATTCCAAATAGATTCTAGCAACCTATAACAATCTCTTCTGAGTACATATAGATAAGTACTGATATACCCAGTCAAAGACCTTTGTTCGTATTTTATTCCACCCAGATATAAATTAGCTCATACATGTCTCTACTGGATCTACACGTGGGGAATTTACATCAGCGTGCTGTCTCTAAGGCCCAGACCCCAACTCCATGAAGTACAGGCATACCAGGTCCTCTGTAGGGTGTACCATACACAGTAGTCATCATGGTGGGCTACCAGACTGATGGCTGCACCTTGCACAACAGGCTCCTCTTGTGGCAGAAAATACACACACTGCATCCAGTGGTCCCGCCACTGAAATGGAGAATAGGCAGCTAGCTGTCACCAAGCTGCAAGAGTTATGCTTTTAATCCTGGTGCCAGAAGTATCAGTTTGCAGAGAGCCATGGTATAGACTAGAGCTGGCTACTGTGTCAAAAGGATAAAGAAAAAATTTATAAATTAGAGGATAGTGGCCCAAAAGCTTGCTGGAACCCTGCTGGCTTTAGGAAGCTAAGATGTGGTCTTCCAGAGGGGCTCAAAAGGGCATCAGTGCAGGCTCTGGTACCTATACACAGAACAGCACCAATGCTCTTGCTTCAATGTGTTGGGCTGTGAATCATCTGTCATTTGAAGGAAGAATTTTCTGGCTCCAAAACAAAATCTAATCATATTCTACAGGCTGTAACACATTCAAAATTTCCTCTTGTCTTCTAAGCAACTTTAAAACACAAAAAGGTCAAACAACATGCAAAAAACCTAACTGGTACCTAGACTGGGGAAAATAAAAGCTACTAAAAACATTTGGAGACAAGGAAATTTTATTTTAAATTATATATTAGATGATATTATGGAGTTACTATTAATGTTCTTAAGTGTGCTAATGGTATTTTGCTTATACTGGAGATTGTTTTATTCTTAGGAGATATATGCTAAAGTAAAGTGTCAGATGCTGCAACTTATTTGAAAATGATTTAGCAGGAAACTGTGTGTAAAGAGGAAGATCTGTACACAGAGAGAGGAAAGAAGGGAGGGAGGCAGAGGGGAAGGGAGGAAGAGAGAGAAAGCTAATGTTGGCCATCAGTAAATTTAAGTAAAGGGAATATCAGTTTCTCTTTTTTTTGTCTTTTTTTTTTTTGAGACAGGGTTTCGTTGTGCAGTTCAGGCTGGCCTTGAGCTCACTTTGTAGCCCAGGCTGGCCTCAAACTCGCAATGATCCTCCTGCCTCAGCCACCTGAGTGCTGGGATTACAGGCGTGCGCCACCACACCTGGCAGGAATATTTAGTTTCTATATTTGTTTACTCTGCTTTTACAATTTTTCCAGATAAAAAGTAGGGAAGATGATACAAAAAGGTTCACTGGTATATTCTAAATTGTGCAATATTATCGTGATTTATAGTTAATTCCCCAAGGCTGAGGTTCAAATCCAGGACTCATGCACTGCTAGATTAAGTGTTCTACCACAGAGCTATACCCCAACCCCCAGATCAGCATTTAATAAGCTATAATGATCTTTACTACAAATCCTATATATATAGGGAGTTTTCTTGGGGAGGGGGCTATGTTCACATAAATATGCATGTTACAAAATTATTTATACAGCATAAAACTGGAACTAAACACCCAGCAGCTCAGAAATTGGTATATATATGTAGAATATTCAGACTTTTAAAATGAAGACTATGACACAGCATAAAACAAAAATTAGCAATTGATAAAAGCTCGTATATGGAAAGAGACAAAAGGATGAATGTCCTAAAAAGTTGGTACCCAAATCAACACTAATGAAATGTTCATCTTGTCATCCTCAGGAAATAAGGAAAACTTGGGCCTGTGAGAGTCTTAAGAGTTTGGCTGCTGGGCACCATGGCACGTTTATAATCCCAGTACTCGGGAGGCTGAGGCAGGATTGCTAAGAGTTCAAGGCCAGCCCAAGCCACATGGTGTGTTCAAGGACAGTCTAAACTACCCAGTGAGACTCTGTCTCAAAAAAAAAAAAAAAAAAAAAAGCCTGGCTAATGTTATGGTTTGTGTCTGGATGTCCCCTCAAAGCTTCATGCAGTCACAAGGAGTAGGCTTTTGGGGGGTGGCTGAATCTAGAGTTTGTGATTAGTTTATTATCTAGTGCTGGGATTGGGGGTATAAGTACTACACCAGCCATACGGCAGGTAGCCTGCCTACAATATCAGGTAGGAAAAGAGGCTTGTTCCTCCCTTTTGCTTTTGGTATCTTCTGCCGTCATGAACGGTTGCCCCTCTGCCAAGCCACCCTGCCTTGGAGCCAGCTGATTATGAACTAAAACCTCTACAAACTGTGAGTTAAATAAACTTTTCCTTCCTTAACTTTGGGTTTTGAGGTTTTCTCTCAGCAACAAGAGAAAAATAACTGAGACAGCTAAGCACATAAGAAAATGAAATCTGAGCCATGTCCCACTTGTCTAGGATATATCTTATCCCATTTAGTCTTGAATATAAGAAAACAACATGTAAATCTGACAAAAAGGCAGGTATCTGAAATACCTATTGAATATAAAGGCTAGGGGTGGGGGATATAGCTCAATGGCATAGCACCTGCCTGGCAAGCGAAAGGTCATGAGTACCATTCCAGGTTAAAAAAAAAAAAAAAAAAATCAGAATATAAAGGCTAGAAAATGAAAACCCATACCCAGATATGTTCTGGAAAAAATATACAATAACAAGGAGGACAATCAGGTTTTCTTAAACTTGTTTTTCATTCCTATACTACACAAATTTATCTAAGGACAGGAAAAGCCTTCCTGGACCCCCCTCTTGTGGCTCTAGGATGCTTTCCTGTCATCCTTCCCTCCTACATTCCCCATACAGAGAAGCTCCAAGTACTAAGGCTAACAAGCTGGTGACAGAAACCCTGCTCCACGGTAACAGAGGTTAAATGAGGTCAAAGCAGTTTTGTGGATTCATGAAGATTTGTTAGCAGTTTTCAAATTCCTAACAGTCCAAAACTCATCACTGGTAAGAAAGGACACAGACCCATACGCAGAAGATCTAAGACTGGATCCCCTCCATTCTTCCTGGAAACACGGTCCTGAGCCCATCCCTGAGCTTGCTGAGCCTCAGTATGGGTACTGATGTCTTATCTACACATTCAGGAGAAAGTATACAGCAGTGCTCTGAGGATATATAAATAAAAAGTACTAACATTTTATGATTGAATTGCTGCACACATGCACAGGTAGGTACATGCACAACGTGCACACATACACACACAGGCATATGTATTTTGCCAGCAGAAGGCCACGTTTGTGAGGGAAGTTGGTACACACTGGCTGACACAAGCCAGTGTGAGGCCAGGCAACTAAAAGGAGGAAAGCTAAGCAGTTCACAGGCCCAGCCGACTGACAGCAATCCCATGGTAGTCATGGCCCTTTATCTAAGCAATAACTCAGAAACTAAGGTGCTGGGGAGCTGCTGTGTATATTTTTTCCTTGAATCTGCATACAAGACATATCAGATAACTCTAACAATACCCAAACAGAAATACAGCAAGGTATGTCCAAGAAGCAGTGGAGGGCGGCTGTCCCTAAGTCTTCTGACTACACATCTTGTGTCTTTTCTCTACCAGTGAAAGGACTGTGTATAACACAGCCAGCAGTCAATCAAAACAAAAGCCAGTAGTAACACCAGAGATGGTGTCTGTGATACCATCACAGGGTAAAGAGGGAAAGTTTTATTACTTGGCCCTGAAATGTCTTCCCTACTTTTTCTTCTATTGAATGTGTGGGCTGAAGACAGATAATTCATGTACAAGAGAGAAACTGCAAATGATACAAGGATGTATGGAAAGAAACAAGTTTCCTCTAAATCCTTGACCTCTAGGTACTCCTCCCAAACATCATTTTTACCAACTTATGTGAATTCTTCCAAAGATACCCTTATACATACACTCCACACAACTATGTGTTCATAACCACATGCATTCTTATTTTTACTAACACCAATGCTGGCATATCACAACAGTTCCACATCTTTTTTTTTTTTTTGAGACAGGATCTTACTCTGCAGTTCAGGCTGGCCTTAAGCTCACTTTGTAGCCCAGGCTGGTCTCGAACTCGCAACTATCCTCCTGCCTCAGCTGCCTGAGTGCTGGGATTACAGGCATGCACCACCACACCTGGCCAGTTCCGCATCTTAATTTTTGCTTTCATTTAATAATACATCCTGGGGGCTGGGGATTTAGCTCAGTGGCACAGCACCTGTCTGGCAAGCACAAAGTCGTGAGTTCGATTCCCGGTACCAGGGGGGGAGGGGGGGATACGTCCTGGAGATTATTCTGTATCAGTGCCTAGAGTGCTACCTTGTCCTCTGAAAGGACACAGGATAATGACTCAGCAAGTCCCTACAGGTAGCCTTTAGGTGGTTCTTTTTTTTATTAAGTAAGGGCCCATGGTGGGGATCCCACATGTACATCTTTCTCCATTTCTGCATAATCTGGTGCTTTGAAATTAATTAATTAGTTTATTTATTTTTGGAGTGCTGGGAATTGAACCCCTCATGCAAACTAGGCAAGTGCTCTGCCATTGATCTATACCATCAGCACCCAGTAACTTAAAAAAACAGAAAGCCAATCAGACAGCCACGGTGGGACACGCCTATAAACTTAGCAGTTTAGGAGGCTAAGAAAGGAGGATCACAAGTCCCAGGCCAGCCTTGGCTATACAGTAAGTTCCAGGCTGGCCTGGACTACATAGTAAGATGTTTCTCAAAATAAAAAAACAAAGAAAGCTGAATATGGTGGTGCATAACTGTAATCCCAGCTTTTCAAGAGGCTAAGGGAGGAGGATCAAGCGTTTGAGGCCACGGACAACTGTGAGGCCATGGACAACTTAGTGAGACCGTGTCTCAAAATAAAATAAAATCATGCTGAGCATGTGGCACATGACTGTAATCCTAGCACTCTGGGAGTTTGAGACAAGAGGATCAAAAGTTTGAGTCTAGTCTGGGCAACTTAGTGAGACCTTACCAAGTGGCTAAGGAAGTAGTTCAGTGCAAAAACCCTGGGTTCAATCCTCATTACAACATAAATAAATAAAATAAAAAGGACTGGTAGCTGGGTGTGGTGGCACACATCTATACTGCCAGCACATGGGGGGCTGAGGTAGGAAGCCTAGACTACGTAGTGAGAACCTGTCTCAAAGAGAAAAAAAAAGCTATGTGGGATGTTAGAACATCCCTGGATTCGATCACTAGTACTGAGGAAGGAAGGAAGGAAGGAAGGAAGGAAGGAAGGAAGGAAGGAAGGAAGGACGGACGGAGAGAGGGAGAAAGAAAGCAGACTGACAGAAAGAGGAGAGGGAGGGATGGAAACAATGGATGGACAACAGAAAGACTGAGACAGAGACAAATTCTTCTTTGCCTTGGATAATTACTTCTGTGTCTACATTCTTGTGGTCTCAGGCCCAACAAACAAAGTAGACAACTTTCCTGACTTACATGACACTGTGCTCAATTCCCACACCTCTTACCTGGAGTCCCTTTGGGTCAGAATGTGCCCAGAAGGGGGCCATGGTACACTTGATCTTCCCCTCAGGATCCATTTCAATGTCCCACCAGGAGAGAACCACCTGAGCTTGACCAGATGCCAAAGGTTCGAACTGCCTGCTATGGCAGGCTGCGGAGCTACTAACTTGCTTGCTGAAGTCCACACTGTGGAAGAATATTCAGGAACTAAAGCATAATTTACCCTCACACACTCCATTCCATTGTTAAGCTTCTGTGACAATATTATCAGGAATGACGGTTGTGAAGGACTCAGCTAAGTTTCTTTCCCATACAAACTGAACTTCCAAAGACCCAGATTCCATCAAATGTCTCAAAGCACTGGTCCCTCGGGGAGGCTCCTTGGTACCTGAACATAGGTAGCACACTGCTGAGGGGAGTGAAGTCAGCAGGTGACACTTGGTTCAGCTGGATGTCATAGACAGAAGGTGCACCAGGGCACCTCTCCATATCTAAGGGAGGGATGATGACCTTCTCTCCGAGGCTGGTCTGAACACGGACAGGAAACAGCTTGTTCCATGACCACATCCTTCTGGATTCCACCAGCTGTGCATACACAGTTGCCCTGTGAGGCACTGCCTCACAATTTTCCTAAGTTTATATTAAAAAACAAAACAAAAGAATAAGAAAAAAATCAGATATCTGACCAACAGTAATGCCCATGGATCAAAACAGGTCTATTCCTTAATATCAGGCTATTTTAGTAACATCTATCATCTACCCACTACCAAGATAATAAATTGTTTTCCTCCCTATGCCCTTGGGAGAAGATAAAAAAGTCAGTAAATTTCAAAAGAAATACATATCATGCCTAAAATAGTTTAAGTCAGACAAGTGCCTAGTTACCTAGCACTATTAAATACTTCAAAAATAACCCTGAATTGTCATCATGCTGATGAACTCCCACACTAACTTGGAAGAGTCCAATCTTACTGTGAAGCAGTAGTTCTAGCCCTGGGCTCAGCGCATCCATTTAGAATAAATCTTATGTGGGCAACAAGACCAGAATCCGTTTACTACAAAACCCAAAGAACAAGTGACCACCCTCAACTGACCTGACCTGCTGGCTTCACTTAGCGCTACTGATTACTCTTTCCAGGTGGCTGTGGCTCTAGCTCTTCGACAAGTTGTCCTCTTACCTCACCCTTTCTGCATCCTCTACAGGCCGGCACCAGGGACTCAGCAGTGAAGAGGATGCTCACAACTGTGAGAAATTCTCAATCATACTGTGAGAAATTATAAGCAAAGGCTTTCTCCACCTCAGCATTACCAACTACCTGAGCCAGAAACCTCCCTAAAATGGAGGGGTATCACAGGCTGTATGGAGAGGTACCAAAGGCTGCACAGAACCTGAGGTAGCAGTGAGCACTGTGTGTGCATCAGCTGAGATCACAGCAACACACCCGAGCAAGGCCCTGGGCCCCTACCTGCACAAGATGCCTATGTGCGTGCTCATAGGAGGGCAGTGCTCCCTCCCCAATCAGTTCTGTGTCAAACAGCTCTGTGACCAGGATGTTGGCACGGCATGGCATGTCACCATCTGAAAAACAGGGAATGGAATCAGAAGTAAGTAAGAAACTAGGAAAAATATTTACAGCAAATGTATGGAACATGAGATCAATAGGTCATTACAGATGGACATAGTGGTACATGCTTGTGATTCCAGCACTCAGAAGGCTGAGGCAGAAGTATCACTGCAAGTCTGAGGCCAGTTTGGGCTACAAAGTGAGTTCAAGGCCAGCCTGAACTGCATAGTGAAACCCTGTCTCAAAAAGACCAAGGGACGCTGAGGCAGGAAGATTGCAGAATTTGAGGCTAGGCTGAGCTACACAGTGAGTTCAATGCCAGACTCAATCACACAGCAAGACCCTCTCTCAAAAAAACCAAAAAAAACAAAGCAGGGGCACAGGAGATGTAGGTTAGTGTGAACATCCAGTAAGCCCCAAAAGACAAGAAACAAAAAAAAAAACAAGACAACTATAAACATCTAAAAAGAAAATCAAATAAAAATATGAACAAGGAAAACAAAAAGAAAAAATACAAATAGTTCTATCTTTAATAGCAAAAATTATTTGGAAAGCAAAAACTGAAGACTGGTACAGTACTTCAAATACTACTAAGTGAGGGAGGAAAGGAGGCCACGAAAGAGAGACAGAGTACACCCACCAAAACTGAGATGTGTTACTTAAAACTCCCAGATGCCTTCTATTAAATCCTCTTAATAAAATTCGTATCTTGCTACCAAACTATGTCCTAAGTAACAGCTGTTTTAGGACAGTAGAATTTTGGAGGATCCTTCTGTTAACTGTTTTCTAAACCTCTGTGATATATTACTTCCATAATTATAATTTTTAATGAGCCCAGAGGCGAACAGACTTTGAAAGGGGCTATTTATCACAGAGAATTATCTGTAAACACTTCTAATGGCTCATGAATTATAATCTGATAAAGCACACTCATCTTCCCCACACAGAGAACAAGTCACACAGATGATGCGAGAAAAGGGCAGCATTAAAGTGGTTCAGGTAGGGAATAATAAAGACAGCATGAACCTGGAGTCCCATAGACTTGGCCTCGACCCCATTTTCTATCCCTGAGCCCTCAATTCAGACCAAAAGTTGCCTCATCTGTAAAAGGGAGATAATGAGGTTTGTCTCATGTGGTGGTGGTGAAGATAACAAAGGAAAAAAATATACCCTTCCTATGAAACACATTGTGCTCAATGGCAGCATGAAGGAGAATGAAGGTTAAGAAGAAACTTCCATCTCCTGGCCTAGAGTCCCAAGAGGGCCTGCCATCCTCTCTAATGTCATGCCAAGTCCAACCAGAACAGTGTTCAAAACTGCCCCTCCCCACTACCATACATGTGCTCCTCCCCATCGTGTTCCTCCCTCAGGCATCTGCAGAGACCTGAGCAAAGTCATGCCACAATAGCCTGGCCACAGGAGACTTAGAGCAGTGTTCTTAAAGAGATGGCACTTTTGCCCTGCCACATCCCCTGGGACATTGGACAGTGTGTGGAGACATACTTGGTTGGCACAAATGGTGAGGGGAAGGACAGTGCTCCTGGAATCTACTAGATAGAGGCTAGGGACACAGCTAAACACCTTACCACGTACAGGCTCGCATCTCACAACAAAGATGTAACAGACCCAAAATGTCAGTAGTGCCGTTGATTTAGACCTACTTTAGCCTGCTCCAATAAAACTTTGAAACAAACTAAAAGGATCAAATTCAATTGCAAGTGACCCAACCGCATGCCTGACTTTTTTAAAGACAACAAAATCCAGCACTCAACAATGAAAACTTTCTAATAAGCACAGCATCCAAATAAAAACTATCAGATATTTAAAGAAGGAAAATATGACTCAGAACCAGCATAAAAATTAATAGGATAGGCCAGGGATATAGCTCAGTGGCATAAGTGCCTGCCAGGCAAGTGCAAGGTCCTGAGTTGAATTCCCAGTACCAAAAAAAAAAAAAAAAAAAAATTAATAGGATAATGCCAGGTGCAGTGGTGCACACCTGTAATCCCAGCACTTGGGCGGCTGAGGCAGGAGGATTATTGCAAGTGTGAGGCCAGCCTGGGCTACAAAGTGAGCTCAAGACCAGCCTGAACTACATAGGGAGACCCTGTCTCAAAAAGAAAAAAAAAAAAAAAAAAAAAATTAATAGGATAAAAATTGATCAACAGAACAAACCCAGAAGAGACCAAGATGGTAGAAACAAAGGTAAGAATACTAAAACTGAAAAAATAAATGTTAAGTACTTAGTGGAAGCATGAAAGTAAGAAAATGTTATTAGCCAAGTACAGTGGTGCATGCCTATAATCTCAGCACTGAAGGAGACTGAGGCAGGAGGATCATAGGCTTGAGTTCTACCAGGGTAATGTAGAAAGACCCTGTTTCAAAATTTAAAAATAAGGCAGGCATGGTGGTGCACACCTGTAATCCCAGCACTCGGGAGGCTGAGGCAGGAGGATCGTTTTGAGTTTGAGGCCAGCCTGGGCTACAAAGTGAGCTCAGGGCCAGCCTGAACTGCATAATGAGACCCTGTCTCAAAAAAGACAAAAAAAAGTTATCAAAAAGAATCAAAGGGAATTTTTAGAGGTAAAAAACAGTATCAGAGATGAAGTTTATTAAATGTACATAACAGATTACACACTATTAAAAAAATCAGTGAAGTTAAAAAATATCAGTGAAGTACCCAAGTCCTTCAATAGGTGAAAGAATACACAAACTGGTAAGTAAAGAAAATGGAGTCCTGCTCAGCATGAGCTTCCAGAGCAATATACTATATAGCAGGGCTGGGGATGTACCTCAGTGGTAGACCATCTGCTTGGCAGGCACAAGGCCTTGAATCCAATCTCCAGCACAGAAAATACATAAATAAATAAATGCTGACACATTTATTACAAGTCTGTTTCCTTGAAATTCTTAAAAGGGTAGATCTAATCTATATTAAAGATTTAATCTTCAATATCTAAGATTAGTGGGTACCTAAGGCCACGCTATGCAGGAATTGACTATACAGGATCATGAGGAATCTTTTGGGTATGATAGATATATTCCATTATCTTGATTGTGCTGGTGGTTACAAGCATGTTTTTGTCAAAACTTGTCAAATCTGGGCATGGTGGCACATGACTGTAATCCCAGTACTTGGTTGGCTAAAACAGGAAGATCATGAGTTTGAGGTCAGCCTGGGCTACACAGCAAGTTTCAAGCCAGCCTGAGCCATAGATATAGAAACTGTGTCTCAAAAAAAAGAAAAACTGGGCCAGAGATATAGTTCAGCAGCACAGCACCTGCTTAGCATGCACAAGGTCGTGAGTTCGATTCCCAGTACCAAAACAAAACAAAATCTTCATCAAACTATATTCTTAAAATGGATATACTAATTTAGGTAAGTTATACCTCAATAATGTTGATTTAAAATGGGATAATGAATTGGGTATGATAGCGCACATCTAAAATCCTAGCACTCTGGGAGTCTGAGGCAAGAGAAAAGTTCAAACCTAACCTGGTCACTTAGGAAGACTGTCTCAAAATGAAAAGTATTTTTTTCTTTTCAGGTCTGGGGATGCAGCTCAGTGTGAAGGCTCTGTTTAATCCCCAGGACTGTAAAAAAAAAAAAAAAACCTAATAATAATAATGGGAGTCTAATACTCCCATGCCTCCTCCGTTTAGGAAAAAAAGGAAATAACAATATGTGCACTTCTTAGTAGTTTGTTATATTTTAAAAATAAAGAGACACTAGTTCCTTCTTTGATACATGTTTCAGGTTCTCTACCCAAAGAAACTGGTTTGTTTGTTTTTGCAATGCTGGGATTGAATCCTGGGCCTTCTCTATGCTAACCAAGTGCTCTACCACTGAGCTATAACTGCAGCTCAAAATAATTTTTCAACAGGAGAAAAAAGCCGAAGTTAGGTAGATGCTTCAATCGTAAAATACGACACTGTAGTAAAAAACTGGTGATATCTATAATCCATTACGTTTTCCTTTTCTTCCAAATCTTTCAATTGTGTTCTGTAAGTATCAAATGGCATGTAAGAAAACCTGGAAAGCCTGTGCCACTGAGGAAAATCTCCAATGTATTGCAGAACTTAAAAAGCCTCTCCCTGCTACCTTAATTTCACTTCTGTCTGACCAGGCTTAAAGAGGTGGCCCAGCCGGGCGTGGTGCAGCATGCCTGTAATCCCAGTACTCAGGAGGCTGAGGCAGGAGGATCATTGCAAATTCAAGGCCAGCCTGGGTTACAAAGTGAGCTCAAGGCCAGCCTGAACTGCATAGTGAGATCATATCTCAAAAAAAGACAAAAAAAAAAAGAAAAAGAGGTAGCTCATACAAGAATTCCAACTTGCTTAGAACATAAGGAGGTTTTGGTATGTGTGAATGCAGAGGTACTTCACTGACTCTCTCTTTATTCATAGCTGATTTGTTTTAACTAGGAGAGAAATAAACATCAAAAGAAGCAAAGTGCTAAAGCCGGGCATGGTAGTGAACACCTGTAATCCCAGCACTTGGGAGGCTGAGGGAGGAGGATTACCATGAGTCTGAAGCCAGCTGGGCTACATAGTGACTTCAAAGCCAGCCTGAACTATGTAAGTGAGACCCTGTCTCAAAAAGCAAAAAGCAAAAGCGAGAACAAGACAGAAGCAAAGTTAGAGCTACACATGGAAGACCTAGATTTATTCCAAGTGGTTGCAAAAACCTTTTCCTGTCTAAAAGTAAGTAAAGCCTCTGATACAAGATGTATAGATCTCACCTGGTCCTACAGTCACCTTAGTGGAATGCTTGTTGATAACTTTAATCTTATCACTGAAGCCGTTCTCCTCCACAATCTTTACAGCAGCATCAGCCATAGGCTTGAAAACCTAGAAAAACCCAATGAAAAAAGAACAACAAATTTTAAAATATCCTACTGTCCAAGGTTAGCAAGTGTTCTTTGATTTTAGACCTAACATTTTTAACTTTAATGCTTTATTCTCCAAATGTGTATCATGAAAATGAACATAAATGCATGAAACTGAAGTTTAATATGTGGTCAGGAGTGGGAATGCAGGGGATCTCGCACTACCTAGTAAGGGCAGGAGGTGTCACTGCCACACTAGAGAAACACCAAGAGCTAGGAAGGGGCCTTGCTTCACAATCCTGGGATGGATGCTGCACTCTCCAGAGGAAAGCCACAGATACAAGCATGGACAGGTCACCTTCATAATCAAAACCATCCCAGATCCCCACTACTGGCAGAACACAGCATATATTTCCTTATGACATTCAAGGCTCTTCAAGTGTGGGCCACTTTACCTTCCTAAACATACTGGCCTCTACCCCACACTACAACCTCACTACCAATATCCAGCCATGAAGATCTCATTATTCACAGGCAAGCCTGAGACTTCCTGTCCTACACGCCTCCTCTCCCAGCCAAATCAAATCCAACTTCACAGGCCAATATAAATCCTATCCTCTTCTCTCTAGAAGCTTTCTGTAAACCCTGCCTGTCTCCATAAACATAAGCCTCTCTAGCTTTTATTTTCCAGTTGTTCCATTTAGATTCTACAACTCCAGCCACTCCATGCATAAAACACACAAACTCCCATGCAGACAACAAATGATAGTGACTGGTATTGATGTCATGATTTTCAATTTTTCTAAATCTTTTTCTGTATTTTGCATGTTTTCTATCAGGAACACAAATTTTTTTACTGCAATCAAAGAGGAAATGCTGCATCTTTTATAAACTACATATATGCACAACCACAAAATTATTTTGAGAATTTAGCTTGTTTCCTGATGTAGTGTGAAGGCCTCAAACTCTCAGTTCTTAAAAATTACCTGGCTTGTACTCCTAAAAATATCCCAACCTCAGTGCTTTCCCCCTACTCCAGCTGCCTTTTGACCTACCACTTCCTCCTTCCCTGAACCTGCAGGCTCCAACCATTCACAGCCTCCTCTCCAGCCCACCAAGAAGCTTAAGCTCTCCCCACAAGCTGGGCCAGGCATAGCGGCGCATGTCTGTAATCCCAAGGTAGCTCGCAAGTTCAAGGTAAGCTGGGGCAATTTAGCAAGACCCTGTCTCAAAATAAAACAAGAAAGGGCTGAGAATGTAGCTCAGTGCAAAGGCCCTGGTTTAATCCCTAGTTCTGCAAAAGACCTCCCCCAGAACACTACCAGAAATGGGCCCTGAAGTGGACTTCCCAATATCTGCTCTCCCTCAGGTCAGGTGTAGTGATGCAGTGAGGGTAACTGACCTTTCAAGTGTTCACCTCTCTGGTCAAAGGAATTGAATCCCAGTGCCCAATGATACTCAAGAAGTTTGTTAGAAGTTTCTGGCAAAAGCCTGCTTGCTCTTCAAAAAGAAAATGAGGCAGCTAGGACTATGCTTTCCTGTCTAACATGTCCCTCATGCCTCTCAGAATCCTTTTTACTGCCATTAATGGTGCTAGGCTTGGGAGGATGTGAACAGCAGAAAGAGGGCAATTCAGGGTCTCAGTATAGTTCTAAAGGAGCCAATCCTGAAGCCAACTGAAGACCTGGACTTCCTGACCACATCCCTGTCTATGCCAGTCTGAGGTGGTCTTCAAGGCACTTACCACAGATATCACTGTAACTGATACACCTCCCCAAATACTCCTTCCTTTTCCAATGTATTAAAAGCAGTCCACAGTCATTGTCTACAATGTCTTGCAATCCATCCACTCCTGAATCCTGTTCCCTCCCAGAAGTATCACTTGAAAGTCATCAATGACCTCCTGCTACCAATGCAACAGCTTTCTCTCAGTCCTCATATAATAGACAGACAGAAGTTAATATAGAGTCAGAGAGAAATTGAGCCCCCAAGGAAATCAGCACAAAAAATAAAGACATCAAGATTTTGGCTGGAGGCAAAAGGTGGAGACACAATGGCCAGACCTGCAAGCCTCCCTAAGGGATAAACAGCAACTTGAGATTATACTGTAATTAGCACCTGGTCCAGTAAGTCCAGATAGGCATCACTCACCAGGTGGGTGACCAGAGCATCTGGACCCATCCCTCCCAAAAAATGCCTTTGTTCTTTCCTGTACCTTGCTATGTGACTCATTTCCCAACTACTGCACCAATATGAGCTAAGTGGCTATACTTGTAATTCTACAGTGGTGGCGAACCTATGGCGTATGTGCTGTAGCCAGCTGTCTGTTATCACTGGAAGCTCTAAAAGATTCGCCACCATTGCTGTAGGTGGATTGCAGTTTGACCCGTATTATACCCATGCTGTGACTCTGTTGTACAAATTACCGCTGACAAAGTGCCTTGGTAGCTACCCATTCATGACCCCTCCTGGAAATCCAGGAGCTATTCTCCTTATTTCTAGTAAACTTTCCTAACTTCTTCCTTTGGCTCTTGACTTCATTCCTCGATGTTGTGAGACCATGAACTCAGCACATTTGGCACCTAACAGACTGGGAGTTATATTTCTCCTATTATCACTCATCTAGCTCAAGCTCTCTACCCATGTTATACAACACAGTGAAGACAAAACTATTTAAATGTGAGTTATGAAATAGAATAAAATTCATTTAAAAAAAAAAAAAGAAATAGAATACAATTAAAAATTCAATTCCCTGAGCTGGGCATAGCAACACATGCCTGTAATCTCAGCACTTGGGAGGCTGAGGCAGGAGAATCACCCTGAGTTCCAGGCCAGCCTGGGCTACATATTGATTTCAAGGTCAGCTTGAATTATATACCAAGACGTTATCTAATAATAATAATTATTATTATTATGATGATTAATTCAGTTCCTCATTCATAGTAGCCACATTTGAAGTGCTCAGTACATGTGACTAAGGCCCCCCATACTAGACAGCACAGCCACAGAAGACGTTCACCACCACAGTAAGTGGTACCGGACAGTGTTGCTCTCTCCCATTTACACCTGTCGACCATTTGCTCTTTTTGCTTTTTAGTCTGCCCTCTTGGCTTCCACAGCATTCTGCTCTCTGGGACCACACCTCCTTCAGCCCATGAAAGCAAGCATGTTTCTAAGGTTTGCTCTTCTTACTCTACTCTTCCTCCTGGAACAACGAGACTGCCAAACCCATCATCTGCTTCATATCACACTTGTTTCACTTGCCCTATGTTAGCAAGTGAGTCCAAATCCACTCATGTATGTCTCTCTCTCAAGGTTCAGACATTTCCCCCATAGGCTGTCCCTCGCTCAATCCTCTGGACCTGTCCGTCCTGACGCCAGGTGTTCAGGGAGAGCTTCAAACCACAGGGCAGTTCACAGAGAGAAAGAGGAGTTCAAATGGATGGTCACTAAAGCAAAACCTGTAGGCCAGCAGAGATGCCTAGAACCAGGGGGCAGAAATGCTAAGTGCCACAGGCCATACCCGGAAAACAGAATTAGAAATCCAGATAACTGACATGGAAGATGGAACAAGTCAAGAGCAAGCCTACCTACTCTGTCAAAAAATGTGTCCTCCTCTGTATTTTTAACTAGTGGTCCACTGATATACCAATTCTCAGACTCAATACATCCAATACACAATGCATTCTCTCTCCACTAAGTAAGCATCTTCCTCTGGGTTCCCTGAACCAGTCAAGGGCACTGCTACCTCCCTGCACACTCACGCTAAGACACGAACACATGAACAGGGACATACACACACATACCCTCTCATCAGAACAATCCCTAAGCAATAGGCAGCATAACTAAGAACCAGATGCCACAGTTCCAGGTCTACTTCTCCTAACTGTAGGACTTAAGTCTTTTAACTCCTCTGGGCCTTAATTTTTTCATTTATAAAATAAAGGGGCAGGGGAACCTACTTTGAAGCTATCAAGACAACTGTCCTAAAACACAGACCTCTCTCTCTTCTTTTTGGCAGTGCAGGGGTTGGGACCCAAAGCCTTCACACTGAGCTACATTCCTAGACCTTTTGATTTTTGAGACAGGGAGTGTCTCAACTTGCAATCCTCCTGCCTCAGCCTTCCAGAGTGCTGGGATTACACACAGGTGATACCATACTCAGCTAAACATATATTTTTTTAAAAAAATCTGCTCAAACATCTTGGTGATTCTCTAAAAAGCAGAAAAAAAGTTTATAATCCTCTTTACAAAATCTCAAGACAACTGCACAATCTCTCACATCTCTCAGGACTTGATTTCAAGGAGAGCTCAAGTCTATTATTCTTCTCTCAGGTTGAAAATACCTAACTCAAAATATTATCATCATTGTCCTGTAGCATTCAGATCCTGGACAATCTGGCAGCAATTTACCTTCCTGGAATTTTCTTCCATGACATCCTTCACCAAGATTCTGGATAATACTGCTCCCCAAATATGCTACAGTATTTTCTCAGTCTAAAATGTCACCTTTCTAGACCACAAATGAGGATCACACTGTAGGGATAACACGGTAAGGAGACGAAAGAAAAGAAGCTGAAGTAGAACTTGCTGGACTGTTTTTATTTGTTTTTTCTTTCCTTTTTCTTCTTTTTTCTTCATTTTTTTGAGACAAGGTCTTGCTATGAACTTGCCCTTGAACTCACTATGTCCCCAGGCTGGCCTTGAATTTGTAGTGATCCTCCTGCTTCAGCCTGCCAAGTGTTGTAGGGATTACAGGTGTGCATCATCACTCCTGGTAATGCTGGACTGTTAACTTCCAAACTTTGAGGAAGGAAAAACTTCCACACTGTTTAAACCACTGTAACTTTCTTATTTCCAACTTGATCAAAAATCAATCCAATTTTGTTGGGCAAAGTATTTAAATCCACGCCTCCTTCCCACCCCCAAAATTTATAACAACAGTCAACTGTACTATTTTTGTTTTGTATTTACAAAATTTCCTATAATAGTAGACATTTATATTATCAGAAAAACAATGTATGTTTAATGTTTTATTAAAGGAAGAAACAGCAGCCTGGTAATGTAATAAAAGATAGCTAGCTGTGTGGAGACATTTAACCCTGCTCTACATACCAAAGTCCCAATGTCAGGCCAGATTCCACAAAAATTGTATCAAAATCTCTGTGGGGCTAGGGGGAAGACTAGGTATCAATATTTTTCAAAAGTCATCAGTGAGTTGCATGTGCAGCCAAGGCTGAGGACCACTGTTTTCAGAAGAGAAAACAGACACCTAGAGGGAGAAGTCACGTCTGACACATTTCTATGTGCTGAAAACCTGGCCTGCACTTGGCATGGAGTAAGCTCTCCATGGATGTTTATGAACAAACAGATGGGAAAAGTACAAGGACACAGGGGACTTCCCACATAAAACACAGGACACACACCAGCAGAAGGGTGGCTCACCTCAATTGCATAGCAGAAGTCAGCACCTGCTGTGACTGCCATCATTGATAAGAGTCCGGTGCCAGTGCCAATGTCAAGAACCAAGGCCTTCTGTCCTCTGTCCTTCACCCTCCTCACAGCAGCCCGGATACCCTCATAATACTTTACATTCTAACAGAGAAGAAAAAACAATTGTAATCTCACACCAGTTATTATAAACAAAAAGACACTTTGTAGAGTTAGAGTGGTAGGGTTGGCACCAGCAGTTAAGTCAGGACACTCTGGCCCTTTTCTCTTTGGAGGAACAGCATGGCCAGCAGAGCCAGACAGGCCCTCTGAGACACCCAGAGCACGGCTTCAGCCTCTTACCCTTTACTAAGAGACTGGCTCCCATCCACCCTCATTCTTCTATACTCTGCTAAGTGATGTTGGTGTAGGGGAAGGAACTCTGCAAGCCACAGATTTTCCAATAATTAGACACAGCCAGTCGGGGAACAAGAAGGCAACTGGAGAGCAGGAGCAGGGAGAAAGCTTGCTCTCTCCCGTAGGGATGCTGCTCTGGTCAAGGTCTCCCAGGAGTGGCAGCTGGTTCCAGACCCCACCTTTCCGTGTCCCCATTACCAGCCTCCTCAGGTCCCTCAGAGGAGCAGGAGCATTCGAACAGCGAACAGTAATCACCCTCAGAGGTGAGAACACTAGTTCCTCAGGTCCTCTCCACCAGCTTCTGGGAACTATAAACCCTAAACTTCTTGTATCTCTCAGCCCCGGGCAAGGTAAGGGCTCCCTGCCAGCACTACTACTGAATTAGCCTGGTTGTTCCCTCTGCTTTCTAGTCCTCCCACACCTGGGCAACTAACTCCCTTCCACACTCTCACTGTTGTAATATTATGTACACTAATATTAATTAATGTCCATTTTCCTCACTGGACTCTATTCCTTGTCTAAAAAGTACTTTCCTTCTCAGCAAATACTCTCTTGCCATCTTGAAGGTTCAATAAACAGACTCATCTTCTATCTCTAGTGATCTGGCTAAATGGATACCTTGACCCTGTACAGTACCTCAAAATAACTAAAGATGATGGGAACAAAATCTGTAAATCTTTTTAAATGTACTGATGACCTGCACAAGAGTAAGGGATTAAAAAGGCCATTAAATTTGTGGACAATCTGTTATGTAACAGAAGATGACTACTACAAAACTGGTATCAAAAAGGTAAAACTACAGTGCAATCAAATTAGAGATCTCGATTACAAGAATGTAACTAAAAAAAACAAGCAGATTTTTGACCATTAAGAAATGCAGTTCTGCCAGGCGTGGTGGTACACACCTGTAATCCCAGCACTCAGGAGGCAAAGACAGGAATACTGTTGCAAGTAAAGACCAGCCTGGGCTACAAAGTGAGCTCAAGGCCAGCCTGAACTGCACAGCGAGACCCCCTCTCAGAAAGACAAAAAAACCACAAAACTGTAACATACAAAAAGGAAATCAAATAAAAGCCTTGCTAAGTTGCTTCCAACTTGAAAACTTCCCGCCTCAGACTCCTAGTAGCTGAGATCGCAGGTGTATACCACCATGCAGAGAATATACAGGGATACCTCAGTTATGAAATAGCTCCAACCTCAAACTTTCCACTACTTGAGCAGCAAAGTTCAAAAAAATCTGCTGAGTGTTCATAACTGCTTGATAGTGAACTGAAAATCCAACTTGAAAAAACCCATATGGGTTGAGAGTAAGTCAAGTGTCGTGTTTTGCCACAGACACGAGACGATGTTTTAGTCTAAGTGCCACTCCTGCACAGACAACACACAGTGCTTGTGTTAGTGTGTTTAAACATTCATCACTACACTCACCATGCGCTTTCTTTTTGATGCTTTATCTGCATAAAATATTGTTACTTTGACTCCATAGAAAGCGGTATGAGCAGTAAAGCTAAGAAAATTGAGATCTACAATAGAGTTAAGAAATTGTTGTGAAATTTGTTAAAGCCCTGGAAAAAAGAATTTGTAAGTATAATTTTTGGGCCTCAAACCAATTATTTGGTTTTCCACTATTTTTTAATGGACAAAGTATATTCAGTTTTCAAACTTTTCAATGTTTGAACATAAATTTGGAGTAAGATGAGTTATACAACCAAGGTATCACTATATATACAACTTTTATTTGTCAATGTATCTTAATAAAACAGGGGGCAAGGGAAAAGAATCAGAGGTAAGAGTCAGTCTCATAGCTAAGTTCGTGACCACAATATCATACTGCTTCTCATCATCATTCTCACATCATGATCCCCAGGAGAAGTTGGAGTCTTCTTGCAATCTAAAATTTTGAACAGTTACATCAAGATAATGGCTTCCTTTTACACTTACCCTGTCTTTGTCATGCAGCATATCTGCATAGCAGGACCTAAACAAACAAAAAAACAGGTCAGAAACCTTTGAGAGTTTTCATATTGTAGTGGTTGATTGATTATGTCAACTTGAGAAGTTTAGAAGCATAACTGAACATGGTTCAGCATTTGGCTCAACAATTCTACACCCTACAGTGTAGAGGATCCACCCTAGGGTGTAGAGGAGACACCCTAGGGTGTAGAGGATCCACCCTAGGGTGTAGAGGATCCACCCTAGGGTGTAGAGGATCCACCCTAGGGCGTAGAGGAGCCACCCTAGGGCGTAGAGGAGCCACCCTATAAAAGGGAAATGAAGGACAGAGGTACTTCCATTCCTTTTGGAGGAGCTCCAGTCTTCACTTTCAGCTTGGACTTGTCTCCTGGCTTCTAGTGCAGACTCTTCGGCTTCCACCTTCGATCCTTCAGTTTTCCGTCGCAGACTCATCGGCCTCCTGGTACGGACTTGCACGGAACACTGCAGTGAACTCCAGACCCTGGACTGATTCCTTCGGTCTTCAGTGTGCAGACACCCTCCGCACACTTTCCGATACAACTCTCTGGCTGACCGTCGTAAGCTAATCTTGTAATTTCTTATAATTTGTATATCCTGTGTTATATCTGTTTCTCCAGTAAAACCCTGACTGATACACATATATATGAATACATCCCTCAATCAGAAGGAACAAAACAAACATGGCACCCATTTTAAATTATCTTAGTAGAGTTAGAAGCTATTACTCTGTAGTATTGCAGATAAAAATTTGACACAGATTTTCTTTTCAGAACAAAAAGTGCTCTAGTAGTTAGACCTGTCACAATAACCCCACAGCTACTAGCATCCTGAGCATGTTACTCATACTCGATATGCCCAACACCTTGCCCTGACCTTGCATGTATGTCTACCTTTGGGATGCCCATGGTGGTAACACTAGGAAGAGGAACTGGGAAAGGAAAGGCACATACCTGCAATGTATATGAGGGTCATCATGCCCAGCACCTCACATCACATCTTCAGGGACAATGAAAGAGTTCACCAAATATAAAGGGGGAACTATCCATATTTTCTACTGCAATATTTCTCTAATTTGAAAATGGGGACTGGGTGTCGCTCAGTTGTAGAATGTGTGAGACCCTGGGTTCAATCCCCAGCACCACAAAGAGAGGGAAGGGACAGGAGAAAGGAGGAGAGAGAAGAAAAAGAGAGAAAAGAAAACCCTATGGTATGATCAGGGTGAGTACCAAGAATAGGTTCAGCCCAAACATGCTTTCTGGGAGTTACAGAGGAGAGCTGAGGCATTCTCAGTGAAACAAGACCCTCTAGTTTGGGTCAACACCAGAATCAGCAGGGCTTATTGGAAATGCAAGTTTTCAGGACATACTTAAGATTCTGATCCAGAAGGCTGGGCTGGAATGCAGAAAACTGTGCTTGAAGCAGTGCTCACTCCAAACAACTGTGACAGGGGCAGTGTTTCTTTAACATTCTGAGGAGCACCGGCCTGAAAGAATGGTTTCTGTTCTCTGTTTTTTTAATGACATACCAAGCCTTTTAGATCTACATCCAGCTATAGTTATTTTTGCCTTTGCCCACCTCCTCCCCATTTTAATGTCTGCTTTTTCAATATGTAATTTTATTTTTATATGTAAAACTCTATTTAAATCAAAACTATAATAAGAATTATCCTCAAGGGACTGGGCATAGCTCAGCAGTACAGCACTGGCCTAGTATACGCTAGGCACAGGTTTCAATCTCTACCCCCTCCACCCACTCAACCCCATTAGCATTCTCCACAGGTAACAATTTTTTTTAGATTCCAGTTTAATCCTTCCAGGTTCTTTTTGCAAAAACAAGCAATACTGTACACACAATTGTCTTTGGTTTTTTAGGTTTTTTTGAGACAGGGTCTCGCTATATAGGCCAGGCTGACCTCAAACTTGTAGCAATCCTCCTGCCTCTGCCTCCCAAGTGCTGGCATAATAGGCATTACACACCACACATGGCTATACATTTGTCTTTATTTCTTTTTACTTGTTTTTTTTGAGACAGTGTCTTGCTATATAGTTCAGGCTAGTCTTAAACTCACTATGTAGCCCAGGCTGGCCTCACATTTGAGGCAATCCTCCTGCCTCAGCCTCAGGAGTGCTGGGATTACAGGCGTATGCCACCACACCTGGCTACTCTTATTGCTTACACAAAAGCCATATAATTCTACACTCACTTTTTTTATTTAGTATATCATGGAGGTCACAGTTATATTGTGGAGGCCAGTAAAATAAGGATGAAATGATGAAAATACAGATTTTTGTCATTTTTTAAACAGTTGTATAGCACCCTACTGTGTAGATTTTTTTTTTCCCCCCTTTTTGGGACAGGTCTCACTATGCAGTTCAGGCTGGCTTTGAGCTCACTTTGTAGCCCAGGATGGTCTCGCACTTGCAGCGATCCTCCTGCCTCAGCCTCCCGAGTGCTGGGATTACAGCCGAGCACCACCACACCAGGCCTCCCTACTGTGTAGATTTAATGAGTTAATCTAACCCTGTTGATGGATATTTATATGGTTTTTGATCTTTTCTTCCAGTGAGTGAGAATAAAATCAAGAATGAAAAAAAGTATGTTTATTTGAAGCTAATTAGGATTACAATCTAGGAAAACACAGATTGAAGCAATCCTGCAACTATACTCCCTCAGCTGGGTGTTGTGGCACATGTCTGTAATCTCAGCACTCGGGGACGTTGAGGCAGAAGACTGCTGAGAGTTTGAGACCAGCCTGGGATAAACAGTGAGTTCAAGGCCAATCTGAACTACATAGCGAGACCCTGTTTAAAAAGAAAAAACAAAACAAAATAGCCAGGTGTGGTGGAACATGTCTGTAATCCCAGCACTCAGGAGGTTGAAGCAGGAAGACTGCCATGAGTTTAAGGCCACCTTGCAACATAAGCAAGACCCTGGCTGAAAAATAAAGCAAAACGAAAAACGAACCACCCCCCCAAATCCTTATATAAAAAAGTATGTCTCCCGCCCACATTTTAAGAGGTATGTCACTTACCATCTTCCTCACCTTGTCAGCCACTCACGCCCCACTACTCCACTAACATCACTCTGCCTCACCAGCAGCAGCAGCAGCAGCAGCAGCAGCAGCAGCAGCAGCAGCAGCAGCAGTTTACTCCTGCTGCTAAAGTCAGTCATCAGCATGCAGGACCTTAGCAGCCTCTGACTTTGCTGGACATTCCCTCTTTCCTGAAACCATCTTCTTTCTACTCTGCCCACTATTCCCTTTTGGTCCTCCTTCTGCCTCCTCAGTCACTCCAGGGTGGCTAGGAGCAAAACAAGCAAGTTGTACCATATACATCTTCCTCCTCAGGAAGACCTCACTATTACTAAATTATACAGACTTTGCTTCAGGGTTCCTTCTTTAGTTCTCTGCCTTTCGCATCCCTCGCCCTCTCTGAGAGCCTGCAATCTCCTCCCAGCTTCAAGTCCACTAACTACTTCCAGTTCTGTCTCCAGACCCACAATTCTATCTACATACTGGCACCTCCATCTGGAATTCCCACCCAAAATGCCTCATCTGCACTACCACCCCTTCCGAACACCAGCCATTTCTCCTGTGTTTTCCCTCTCAGGAACAAGGGCTCCATCTACCCATTCAAACCAGAAATCTTGGTGTTTCTCAAATTTTCTCTCTCCTTCCATCACTGCATCCACTGAGTTACCAAAGTCAAAACCGTCTCCTCCTACCTCCACCTCCCTGTGTCTGCTTTGGGACTGAGATACCCACCCACATGATCTTTCCTTCCCATTCTGCTCTCAGTGAATGTTCTGAAATCCAACTTGATCCTCTTTCTCTCACTTAACATACTAATTACTCAAGAAATAATGCCCTAAACCTTTAGAAGTATTAAAAAAAAAAAAAAAAAAAAAACCTTTAGAAGTAAAGTACTATTATTAAGCCCTTATGCTGTAGCCCTTGTCCCCAGTGCTGGGGATTGAAGCCAGGGCCTCATGCAGGGAAGACAAGCCATCTAACACAGAGTCACAGCCCGGCCCAGAGATGAGTATTATTGGATGAAGTATGCGGTACTACACTAAGGCTCAAGGAAGTTAAACAGGTTGGCCTATGTCAGAGTTAAGAAGGGGCAGAGCCTGGGCTTGAACTCATGCTCCTCTTCCTGCACTTCACTCTGACCCTTTCAGTGACCCCTGACAACCTTTTCAGGAGCCTCTCTCACACAGCCCTATCTCCGCACTGTACTCCGGCAATAACGTACTGCTAATGAACTTACTCAAACATCACATCCTACCCAGTCCAGCTGCTTCTTGCTGTGTCTACAACTGCTGTGCCCATTTCATAGGCCTTTATCTCTCTATGCTGTAATTTTTTTATATCTGTTTTTTACATATAAAACTGTATGCTCCTTGAGAATAGAAACTGTATCTTCTTTAATGGGTATCCATAGTCCTAAAACAACTGTTGGCAAGCTGATTATACTTAACGATTGTTAAATAACGACTAGTACTTTAAATATTCTATGGGAGAAAAAAGTATTTTTCACTTTTTATTCAAGAAAATTTAACTATAAACTGAATATGTCATAGTTTTACTGACACAAAAATTAAACTTCATAAACTCTACTACTAGTGAATCTTACGTCCTCTTTGCTCCACTAATCAGATCCTCTGAGACTGTCTGGTAAGACTGCTTGCGACATGATGTCTGCACTTGCCTAACTCCTACACACCTACCTGGCAAAGCAGACCTGCCTAATCCTAAGGACTGGGTGACAACCTAGTTCATACCATATCAGACTCTAAGGTGTCTGTTTTGAAATCAAGTGCCCCAGCAAGCTACAGCCCCAACTGTGAACCAACCCTTGTTACCTGGCAATCTCCTGGTGGTAATCATACTGCTCATCCTCCTCCAGCCACTCCATGGATCCTGTGGTTGGATTCGTCCGCCCGAAGAAAACCTTCATGGTGCCAATCAGCTCCTCAGCTTTGGAACAAAAAAGCAATCTGTGCTAGTTCCTTTCTTAGGGACAGATTTGATCAGAAATCTATTCAATCATCAAGGGCAGGACACAAGAAAAAAGGGAAATATAATCAAGAAATTGACAAAAATGTCAAATATTTAATCAGTAATCTTCCCAGCAAGAATTATTTTTATATTCAGCACCTAACATTACAAAATAAATCCAGCCAGGGGTATAGCTCAGTGGTACAAGCACCTGCCTGGCAAGCGTAAGGTCCCGAATTTGATTCCCGGTACCAAAATAAATAAATAAATAAATCCATATAGCTGTCTGGAAACTATGGTAGTACTTAAGAGATTCCAACAGAGTCAAATAAGCCTCAGAGGTTCACCTGGGTACAGTCTTCAGGTAAAAGTGAGAAAGGAAACCTGAACAAAAGACTAGCAGAAAGAGAGCAAGAAGAGATGGCATGGTGTTGCCTCAATATACTAAACACTTAGCATAAGGAAAACTACACCAGGGAAAGTCAAACAAGGAGAAGCTTTGTCTACTCCAAACAATAAAGCACAGCCACATTCAAACATAAATAATCCCAGGAATATGATGCTGAATGAAAAAAAGGCAAATCACACATTGCACATAATAATTCAATCTATATAAAATTCCTAGGCCAGGAGTGGTGGTGCACGCTATAATCTCAGCACTTGGGAGGCTGAAGCAGGGGATTGCTGCCCAAGTTCAGGGCCAGCCTGGGCTACATAGTGAGTTCAGGACCAGCCTGAGTTACATAGTGAGACCCTGTCTCAAAAAACAAAAACAAAAACAAAAAATTCCTAAAGATGTAAATGAAGCAATAAATGTATAATATTCTTCAAAGATCACACTAGAAGGCATACCAGAGAATGAGACTAGTGGTTACTTTGGCGGGGGGTGGGGGCAGGGCGGGCGGGGGTTGAGACAGGGTTTTCACTCTGTAGTTCAGGCTGGCCTCAAACTCACCATCCTCCTGCCTTAGCCCCCAGAGTTCTGGGATTACAAGCTCACAGGCATGTGTCACCACGCTCAGCGGAGAATATGGCTACTCCTAATAGTAAAAGGAAAGAGACAGGATCAAGGAGGCTTACACAGTGGATTTCAAAATGTAGTGTTTCATTAAATCAGTGTGAACACAGGTACTCACATTCTTTGTGCTTTTTCGGTAGTACTAGGGATTGAACTTAGGGTCTTGCACACAGCAGGCAGGCATACTATGAGCTACAACTCCTACCCTTTTAAATTTTTTTTCTTTTGAGACAGAGAAATACTAAATTGTCTAGTCTGGCCTCAAATTTGCCATCCTACAATCTCAGCTTTCCCAGTAGCTGGGATTACAGGTATGTGCCACTGTACTTTGCTATTTTTTATAATTACTCTGCACTTACTAGCTTTCTTTTGCTATGACAGAATATCTAAGAATAACAATTTAAAGGCAAAAAGGCTTATCTGGATCACAGGTTCAGCCATAAGGTTGGCTGGTTCTGTTGTTTCTAGGCTTGTGGCAAAGCAGAAATATGAGGGTAGAAGGGCATGGCGGAGAAAAGTAGTCCTTAAGGGCACACCACGACCCACTCCCTTCAGCTAGCGCTCACCTCCTAAGCTTCCATCGCCTCCCAATAACGGCATCAAACTATGAATTCATTAATTAAAGCCCTCACGATCCAATCACCTTCCAATACCCTAAACACATGAGCCTTTTGGAGGACATTTTAGATCCAAAGCACAACTTCTTAACTAATCGAAAATTTAGTCTTAAATTTTAAAAAACCGGGGCTGGGGATTTAGCTCAGCGCCACAGCGCCTGCCTGGCAAGTGCAAAATCATGAGTTCGATTCCCCATACCGGAAAAAAGACAAACAAAAAAACGAAAACAAAAAAAAATTTTTAAAACCTTCCCTCATCTAAAATATTTTGCTTCAGATAAATAAAATGTTACAAGAGTCATGTTTTGTATGGTTTGTCTCCCAAAAGATCCACTTAGAGCAGGCAGAGAAGCACCCCAGTGCCAAGTTTGATGGTATTCCTTAGCAGGTCTAGGCTCTGCTGCTACTAGTCTCCTATTCAGAAATCAAGTGTTCCACAATCCCCGCTTCCATCCTCTGAAACACTGCGCTTCTAAATCTTCTTAAAGATTTTTTTTCTTTTTTCTTTTGTCTTTTTGAGACAGGGTCTCACCATGCAGTTCAGGCTGGCCTTGAGCTCGCTTGGTAACTCAGACTGGTCTTAAACTCATCCTCCTGCCTCAGCCTCCGGAGTGCTGGGATTACAGGGGTGCACCACCATGCCCGGCTTTTACTAAGTAAATTCTTAGAGAAGCTTATGGAAAAACAATCTTTTCTGAAAAGACTAGGCTGTGAATGCCTGGTTAAAAGTTGTCAATCGGACTTTGGTAAAACTCTGCTCCTAAAATCTTAATATATCTATCATCTAATTTAGTGATTCTGAAATGTCCTGAGAACCCCAGTAGAAAACATACTGTTTTCTACATTGAGAATCAATATACACATGTATACAAAACTGAAAGTTACACAAAATATTGAAACTGCCTAATAGGGAAATCCCTCCATACATTCTATTTTATTTTTTAAATTATTGGTCATGCTTCACCAAGTTCATATTACTAATGAGTTTGCAACTTGTACTTTGTCTTTTTTTCTTTTTCTTTTTTTTTTTTTGAGACAAGGTCTCGCTATGCAGTTCACGCTGGCCTTGAGCTCACTTTGTAACTCAGGCTTGACTTAATCTCACAACCATCCTGCTGCCTCAGCCTCCCAGACTACTGGGATTAGAGGCATGTGCCACCATGCCTTGCCTCCTCCTAGGGATTTTGTGTGTGGGGGGTGGTATTTGTTTTTGTTTTTGTTTTTTTGAGACAGGTCTTGCTCTTTAGTTCACACTGGCCTTGTACCCACTAGGTAATCCAGGCTGGTTTTGAACTTGAAGCCATCCTCCTGCCTTGGTTTCCCAAGTGCTGGGATTACAGGGATGCCCCTGGCATGGACTCTTTTCTCATTCTCCAAGAGCTATAAATTCACATTCCTTGTAGATACCAGGAATAAATGGATGCCACCTTGCCAAAACCTAATAGCATTATTAGTCAAGAGTTCAGAGTAGATATTCTGGTCATTCATTCACAACTTACTAAATACCTTCAATAAAACCAGGCATAGTGTTAAGGACTGGTGCCACCACTATATATATTGTTATATAGAGAAGGTCCTTGTCCTTCAAGAGTTTACACTGTAATGAGAGGGGGGAATATAAACAGTTACAGGCTATTTGGGTGCAAAAACGAAGAGGCACAGGGAACTATGTAGAGTACAAGATTACGGAAAGTTTCTTTGAGGAATACAGCTTTTAAATTGGTATCTGTAAGACAAACTAGGGTAAAAGTTGGGGAACAGTAACTTTTACTATTATGAGGTGTTGGGGGTTAAACCCAGGGCCTTGTGCACGCTCTGCAAGTGCTCTACCATTGAGATCCCAGCCCTTTTTTATACTTATCTTTATCTTGAGACAGGGTCTTGCTAAGTCCAGGTCTGCCTAGAACTCCCAAGTCCTCCTGCCTCAGACTCCCAGTTAGTGGAATTACGGACTTACACCACTGTGGCTGCTGAATTTAGCAGGAATCCTTACTCTAACTTTTCCAAAAATGGGCTGGGAGAAAGAATGAGACACGTAACTAAAATGTAACGAGACTGAATGAGTGAAGCGCTTAGAAAAGAAGGAACGATAGATTAGAGGAAGGGGGGTTCTGCAAATTCCACCGGACATTTTGGCTTCGCATTTGAATTTTACTCTAAGGACACACAGAGAGAACCACCCAAGGATTTTAAGCAGAACTATGGCTATGTAGGGTGCACACTTACAAGACTACTCCTGACTAGTATGTAAATAGACTGGATTCCAACTACACTGAACAGTGACTAAGAAAAGCGAGCTATCAGAGTTCCCTGAATAGAAAGGCTGGAGCTAAGTACGCCTGGGGTATGGGTCTGTGTGGCTGACAGGACGCGCTGGGCACGAGCGCTGTGATCTAGGGCCCACGCTGTGGTGCCCTGGACCCAGAGAAGGCAAGCACCTGGCTGGACTGCGGAGCCAGAGCCGCCTCAGAGCTCAGCTCTCCCGCCAGCGAGCGCGCTCGGAGCCGCCCCACGCGGACTCTATAAAGGTTCCAAAGAGACGCATGACTCGGCGTCGGAGAACGTCCACGCTGGGCGCCTCCGCCGGAGCTCTAGGGGTGAGGACAGGGCGCTGGCTGAACCCTAAATACGACCCCACCTTCCCAGTACGCCAAGCGCCTCACCAGCAGGGAGGACCGCTCCTTCTGCCTCAGGAGCCGACGCCATGTTGCCGCGGGGAGGGTGCGCGGGGGCGGGAACCTCAGGGCGCCCGCAGAGCATGCCGGAGGTGGAGGGCGTGCCTACAGCGGAACTGGATGACTCTCCCTTCGCTCCCCGCGCCTTCCCATAGTGCCTCGCGACAGCCGCTATGGATGCCGGCAGGACTGCGGTGCTCCGGGTGAAGCGGAAGCGTAACGCAGAGCCCGCCGAGGCTCTGGTGTTGGCTTGCAAGCGTCTCCGAAGAGATGAGGTCGAGTCAGTTGCCGAGGAGACACCAAAGCGTCTGGACGGAGCGGCGGAGAATAATGTGTTTCAGTTGGTGGCCACCGTGCGCTCCCAGGTATTAGACGGGGATGCAGTCTGTACAGAAGGATGTTAAGGCTTTGCTGCGATTCCCTAAACCCCCGGGCCCCCTTACAGACCCTTCCAAACTCTTACTGACGTCCCCCCCTCTAGGAGGAGCCGATCCAGTCTCTCGTGCGGGCTGCCCTGCGCCCTTACCGGGACAGCCAGCAGCGTATTCGCCGCAATCTCCGCGCCACAGCCAGCGAGATCAGGAAAGAGGGCCGCTACCGGGTGGTCTCTGGCCGCCGAGCGGCGGGGACCTCCCGCAGCCTGGAGTACGCGCCAGGGACCTCAGAAGCTCCCGGGGACTCAGGCTTCCAGCTGTTGGACCTGGTACACGAGGAAGGTGACCCAGAGGCCGCCTCTACTGACTCCAGCAAAGTGAGTATCACTTTATGGGCACTGGGTGTCCCTGGACAATAGTCCCAGGAATGTATCTGATACCAGGACATGACTAAGAGGCTGCACTCGGTAACCTTAGGGATGGATAATTCATCCGGCCTGCTTGGCTCATTGTACTGATCTGGGTTTTCACTCTACCGTACATGTATCTACTAAGTGCCTCCTATGTGCTGGGTATTGTTTTTAAATTCTTTGGAGACAGCAGTGAGGACCAGCATTCCGGTAGAGAAGGGAAATATGAAACGAGTAAACTCAACGTCAGGTAGTGGTAAGGGCTGGTGAAGAAGGAGCAGGAAAAGAGCAGTGCCATTTCCACGAAAGTCTCATAGGAAAGAAGACATTTGAGTAGATTTGAAGAAGGTGAATGCCTGGGTATCAATCACTTGTTACTGTGATAGAATACCCAACACCAGCAAGTTAAAAGAGGAAAAGGTTATTTTGGCTCACAGTGCCTAGCGGTTTCAGTCCGTGGTCGGCGGGCTCCAAGGCAGGGTGGCTTGGCAGAGGGAAAACACCTCAAGGCCTGGTGGCAAGAAACAGGGACCAAGGGAGGAGGGAGGTACACCCTTCCCCTCCATGCACCACCTCCTCCCAACAGGCTTTACCTCCCGACATCACGTTTAGCCATGAACTCATCAGAGAATTAATCCACTGGTGAGTGTCACACCCCATGATCCAGTCACCTCCCCAAACCCTAACTTATGAGCATGTGAGGCTGTGGGGGAGGGATGCACCTAAATATAAACCATAACACTGGGGATATCATGGGGAGAGGCGAACAGTGGAGCAGAGGACCTGAAAGTGTAAAGACCTGAAGCCTATTTGGTTTGATGTTTGCAAGGTCAGCGTGCCTACAGTCCAGTGAGATGGGAGAGAGCAGTAAGGAGTTGAGTGGGAGGAGTGCTTGCTAGACTCTATAAGGTAATTTGTAAGGACATTGCCTTTCACCCTAATTGAGATGGGAGGATCACTGGAGCAAAGTAGATATAGAGCAGACAGGGAAGTTCATCAAGAGAGGTTACGGGACTAGTCCTGGGTACCATACCAAGTCTGAGGCAGATATACTTCTAGAATGCAGATCATCTCACACTTAATCCAGTGCCTTTCCTACTACATTACCTTCGCTAAGTTTGTTCTTCACTCACTTCCAAAACAGTCTACCACATGCAGTAAAACTACAGAAACAGAAAATTCTCAACATCAGATATGTTTCTCCTTGATAAACTTACAGATCCATCATTTTAATCATTCATAAAGTTTTAAGAATTTAATTTCAAAATAATGAGCAAACAGTATTTAATTATGGTGCTAGTATAACTAGATAGCAATCTGACCCTAATGTCTATAACCCAGGTCCCTAGGTATGCTGAGCAAGCACTGTACCACTGAGCCTCATTCCCAGCCCAGATTATAGATTTTTGGCGGGAGGGGTTGGGGCTTTTTGTTTTTTTGTCTTTTTGAGACAGGGTCTCCCTATGCAGTTCAGGCTGGCCTTGAGCTCACTTTGTAGCCCAGGCTGGCCTCAAACTCGCAACGATCCTCCTGCCTCACACTCTTGAGTGCTAGGATCATAGGTGTGCGCCACCATGCCCAGTCTCAGGTGATAGGTTTTTAAAAGTAAACCAGCATTCACTAGAGTCAAATCAGGTTAAACAGCTCACTCAATTTTATTTTTTAAAAAAGTAAACTGGATGAAGGGTATTAAGAGATTTTTTTTTCCCCAATAAAGCAATATATATGCTGAAAACATCAGAAATGTTTGCACAGAGTAATTATAAGTAAATATGGATTTAAAATTAAAGCAAGCTGGGTGTGGTGGCATATGCCTGTAATCCCAGCACTAAGACGCTGAGGCAGGAGGACTGTTGCAAGTTTGAGACCAGCCTGGGCTACAAAGTGAGCTCAAGACCAGCCTGAACTGCATAGTGAGACCCTGTCTCAAAAAAGACCAAATAAATAAATATCGTGAAAAAAAAATATTAAAGCATATTTGAGGTTTTATGTCTACTAGACTAGCAGGGAACAGGTAATTGATAGCACTATTGACAAGGGTATAACTTACAGACTATAGTAAAATAGCATGTCTATGTATTGGGAATTCTAAAAATAGTTTGTGGCCTATTTTAAAATATAAATTATTATGTTTGCATGTAAAAATAGTTTGTGGCCTATTTTAAAATATAAATTATTATGTATGGATTAAAATATCTAAAGAATTTCTTTGAATTAATGATTTTGGGGTGTTTTGGGAGACAGTGTCTCAGTATGTAGTCCTTGAACCCCCTGTGGAGCCCAGGCTAGCCTTGAATTCCCTCCTACTTCAGCTTCCAAGTACTGAGATGACAGGCATGTGCCACCACACCCAGCTTAAAATTATTTTTTTTTTTACACAATTTTAAATTAGTGATAATTCCATGTCACATTTTAGTGGGTTTCTCCTTCAATTGATCCTCACTTAAATTTTAAACAAATAAGCCAGGCATGGTGGCACTTACCAGTAAACCCAACTACTTGGAAGACTGAGGCAGAAGAATCACAAGTTTGAGGCCACCCTCAGCAACTTAGTGAGGTCCTATCTCAAAAAAACACCAAAAGAAAAAAATGAGGATGAAAAAAATAAGGATGTAGCTCAGTGATAGAGTGCTTGCCCAGCATGCATGTTAATCCTCACCAAAAATCCCTATGAGTTACACATACTTTTTTTTTCTTAAAGACAGAGTCTTGTTATGCAGTTCAGACTGGCCTTGAATTCACTACATAGCCCAGGCTAGCCTCAAACTTTCCTGCCTCAGCCTCCAGAGTGCTGGGATTACAGGTGTGCACCACCACATCTGGCCTTACACATATTTGTATCCCCATTTTCCAATGCAGGAAATGATACATTCCTTAAAATACTGTATATGGAAACTAAAAATATATAAAAAATCAATATATACAACTGGCCTATTAAAATTGATAACGCTAAGCCAGGCCTGCAATACAGGACCGTAATCTCAGCCCTCTGGGAGGAATCACAAGTTTGCATCCAGGCAGTTCTGCAACTTAGTGAGATGCTATCTCAAAATGACAAAGGGGGGATGAAAAGGGCTGAGGATACAGTTGGTACAAATGTTCAATCCCTAGTACTGCAAAAAATAAGTAAACAAAAATGAAATTGATAGCCCTGAAGATTGGAAAAGTACTGGTTTGTGTTTAACAGTAGGAAATGCTAAATGTAGTATAATCGATAATACAGGTAAGCATACAAACAACACTGACTTGTTCATTTTTGAAAGTAATATATATACGATAGGCGACTTGAAAACATACGGCAGCCTAGAAAGTAAAATGGGAGGATGAGGGGTTGGCTTAGTAGTAGATTGCTTGCCTGGCAAGCATGAAAGCCTTACTACTGCAAAAAAAAAGAAAATGGGGCAGCATCACTCAGTTTACTCCAGTCCAAAGTTATCTAGAGTAAAGCTGGTTTTTCTACTTGAGTATAAAATAATATTTGGTATTTTTCTGTATGTTAATCTTGTAAGTAACTTAGTGGCTGCAAAGCTGCGCAAAAACTTGTATCTCTATCTCTAGTTCTGTGACTTTGGAGCAAGGGAGACTCCTCCTTAGCCTGTAAATATCCGCATCAGTCTCCCTTACATGTCTCGGTGTGGAATGCTCCACATTTTCTCATGTGGTGTCCGGTTTAAGCTGCCGCCCTCCTGTAATGGACTTGTCCCCCTGGTTCCAAACTGACCTGTGCTTCCTAGGCCCTGGACACACCCTATAGGCAGTGAAGCACATTGTACCTGGGCCCTTCTCTCCTGGGACATTTCATTTTAAGCTGTTCTTTCTGGTAGAAATATTATAGGTGAGTCCAGTTTGTGATTAAAGCAAGATGTCAGTATAAGGCAAGTCAGATGATGACAGTAGTAGTCACCAGCACTTGCCTTTGGCCTCTGTGAGGCCCCACAAAATGCCAACCCATTTCAGGATCAGCCAATGGATTCCCAAGGGAAAAGCATCATATCAAAGAAACTCAGAGAAGACTTATAGAAGCAGGTTTGACCGAGCTTGAGAGCACGACTGGCCAGCTCATTTTGCTTCCCCTTCTCAGGCCAGTCTTCCCATAAGTCTGTCTCAGCCAAGCACAAAAGAACAGGATGCCTATTTTACAGGTTTCTATGTGAAAACAGGTAACATGTAGCTAGTTAAGATACTCGTGCTGGGGACATAGCTCAGCAGCACAAGTGCCTGCCTGGCAAGCGCAAGTTCCTAAATTCAATTCCCAGTATGAAAAAAAAAAGATATACTAGTAAGGCAAGAACCTAGGGGCCGGGGAGATAGCTCAGTGGCATAAGCGCCTGACTGACAAGTGCAAGGTCCTGAGTTCAATTCCCAGTACCAAAAAAAAAAGTCAAGAACCTAGAACACACCAGGGAGAGCTGTGGGCCTTCCTTCGCCCAGGTTTTGTTCCTTCTCTTGGAGTATCATGTTTTGAGTTGTGTGTATCATTTGTTTTCATTACAGACATCTGACCCAGATATGATCCTCTGCAATAATGTAGAGCTGATCCGTGAGTGGCTAACTATATCTGACGATGGACCGGGAGCTGGATGCGAGGAGAAACAGAAGCATGATGACTACGTGTATGACATTTACTGCTTGGAGACGGCCACTCCAGGGTGGACTGAGAACATCCTCTCTGTGCAGCCTTATACCCAGGAGTGGGAACTGGTAAGAGGGCCCATGAGGAGAAAAGGCGTATGACAGCCTAAGCTCTTTCGGGGTCTTTTGCCTCACCGGGCTCCACTCTTGAAAAAAATTTTAGTTCTTTTTTCTATTCAAAAGGATTGTATCTTTTTGGTTTGAGATAGGGTCTCCCTATGTAGTCCAGGCTGGCCTTAAACCTGAGATTCTCCTGCCTCAGCCTCCTGAGTGCTGGTATTCGGGTATGTGCCACCAAACCCAACTTACATTTTTATTACATCTTGAAAGGAGAAAACCCCTTGATGAAAGCTAACATCCTAAAGCCATTATTCTTAAATCCTAACATGATTAGTGAGAAGAATAGCACCTGTCACACTGACACTAGGAGAAAAGTACCTTATCCTGCACCTGCACTAGAACCATAACTTTGCAGTCAAGTGTCCATCACTGGACACTGCTTGCCCCCTACCTACTCCTGCTTTCCCTTCTCCCCTACTCTCAAGCTTTGGGCTGGACCTTTGGCGGCACCCATGTAATCACTCTCCCTTGTGGCTGCCCTTTAGGAATTTGAAGATTGCTGCCATTTGTATTAAGAGCTGTTGCTCCTCTCTACCCTGCATCTGGTGGCACTGGAGTGTGGTGTCTGAGCTGGCTCTGGATAGAGGCAGGCTACTATCACCCCTCACAGCATAAGACAATCAAGTTTCTTGTGTAGCAGAGCCAAACCAACTCCTAGCCTTCCTTTTCCACATGGTCCCTTTACCTGAATCTCCCCAAGCTGGTATGCAAACAGCTTCCCTCAAAGAGCATTTTGACTTAGATTCATGTTTGTGTTGACATGTGCAGGTGCATGATGATGAGCAACCAGAAGACGTGTACGAAGATGAAGACGATGAGAACAGTGAGAGCAACTGGCGCAATGAATACCCAGAAGAGGAGAGCAGCGATGAAGATGAAGATTCCAGAGGTGAGTGGCAGCCTCGATGGGAGGGACTGGTAGACCCAAGCCCAAGGTGACGGCATAATCAGTATGTCTGGCTCAGCTTGCTTCCCTTCTGTGGCACTGAGCAGTTTCCAGAGGAACTGCTGAGAATGTAATGTCAGTCGGGTGTGGGGTTCAGATCCTTAGTTCTGCCACTGCCTACCTGCATCTTATGCAGATGACTTTACTGAGCCTCATTTTCTTCCCAGAAAACTGGACAATACCGCACCAACTTCAGTGATTGGGATTAAGTAAAACACGTCGCCTTTTGTCCCTTTCCCTGCTTCCATCAAGACATTATGAGAGGGCCGGGGATATAACCCAGTGGCACAGCACCTGCCTGGCAAGTGTGAGGTCCTGAGTTTGAGTCCTGGTACCAAGAAAAAAAAAATTATTAGAGGCTCACTAGTAGGATGGGACTAGTTTTCATGAGTCGTTTATCTAACCTCCCAAGATTGCTACATTTTTAGCTGGTTTGTTTTTGTTTGAGATGGGGTCTCCCTGTGTAGTTCAGGTGGACCTTAAACTCAGTATATAGTCCAGGCTGGCCTCAAACTCACAGCGATCCTACTGCCTCAGCTTCCCAAGTGCTAGGATTACGGGCTTGTGCTACCATGCCTGGCCCAGCTGTTTTGAGGAAGATGCAGTATTGACATGGTACCTAGAAGAAGATGAAGGAAAGAACACAGTTTCTCTGGTGACTGCTACATTCCTCTAAGTGTAGCCAACAAAAATCACTTCCTGGTGTCTTATAATAAAGGAACAGTTACTCAGACAATGGAATAAAGTCCTATGGGGGAAGTAACAACACACCAATGTTAACTTTGTTTAGATGCTAGAAATGTAATTATTTTAAAAAAAGAAAGAAGTGCTGTATTCCAAAGGTTCTTTATTAAGCAAGTATTTTTAAATGGAGAACAAAAAAAATAAATAGACGTTTTTGAGAAGGGAAGGGGCTCTTTGGTAGCCTATAAAATCATATAGTGAGAGTCCATTGCTGTTATCTTCTAGGTTCTGATGAATACGACAGCTTGAGTGAAGAAGAAAGAGGCAGCAGGCAACAGATTTGGCACAAGTACCCTCTGCATGTACAGAAGGAGTTTGGCTATGATAACCTGGATTCAGACTGATGGTCTTATACTACCCATGCGCAGACCCAAGAGGGCTCTGTGCTTAGGATTAACTGGCCTGGTGACGTGCTCCCAGGATTCCTAGCTGAAGAGATGGAAGGAAAAAGCATTCTGAGCAGTACCATCCCAGCACGTGGAAAACTTAAGCTAATAGAGTAAGTCTTTTCCACGCATAGTAGGGCCCCTTGGTGTCAATCAGAACTGGCTGTAGTCTGGGAAAAAAATTCTCTAAAATGGAAAGTTCCTCTCACTTCCTCCACAAGGCATTGTTCCTGGCACTCTAGTTCTGTGGCAAAGCCAAAAGGGGAAGAGAGGTTTCAGTTTCATCAGCAGTAAGATTCTACTTTACCTTACTACCTGACTGCCTGCCACCAGTAAAAGCCTCTTCTCCTTGATAGTGGGCACCTGGAAGGGTTAGTGGGTGCCCTGCAGCAGCAGTCTAGATAGTAACAGCTTTTAGGGCAGGAAGGAAAATCTGAGCTGTGATGTTAATAGCTATCTTGCCTCCTGGCCTGTTACTCTGATAACAGTATAAAGATTCCTGTCATCTTTTGGCAATGGTGCCAAGAAATAGTACGCATGAATGTGTTACTCTGTTTAATAAAACTCCTTTTGAAAAAAAAAAAAACAAAAAAAACAAAAAAAAAACCAAAAAAAAAAAAAAAACCAAAAAAAAACTCCTTTTGAACATTGAAACGAATGATTTCTTTAGAACATTTGTTTTTTTGAGACAGGGTCTTGCTATGTAGTTCAGGCTGGCCTTTAACTCACTATGTAGCCCAGGCTGGCCTCCAACTCATGCTGATCCTTTTGCCTCAGCCTCCTGAATGCTGGGATTGCAGGCACATGCCATTGTGCCCAGCTCAAAACCTTTAAATCTGAGTCTTAGGTGTTTTTCTTCTATACTTTCACCCCACAAAAAAGAAGGGCAGTTAGTGTGGCAAAAGTTTCAGAATTAACCTTAGTAAGGACTTAAGGGAAGGAAAAGAAAGCACATCCTGAACTTGGGTTTCTATTTAAAACTGTTTACTGTTCATAGCACTCAACAAAATTAAATTATAATCATCCCTCGGTGTCAATGGGTGATTGGTTCCAGAACCTCCTGTGAATACCAAAACCCACAGATTCTCAAGTCCCTTGTATAAAATGTATTTTCACATAACCCTTGCACATTCTGTATATATTTTGTCATCTCCAGATTACTTATAAAACCTAATATGATGTAAATGTTATGCAATTGTTATATATGTATTGTTTGGGGAATAATGGCAAGAAAAAAAATAAACCTGTACATGTGCAATACAGATGCAGTTTTTACCCCAAATATTTTGCATCCACAGCTGTTTCACTATAGGAATGCAGTCCTTAGGTATGGAGGGTGGACTATACTATCAACAGAACTAGTTTTGTTACCAGAATTTCTATCTCTTTAGTCAGTTAATTCTTTCCCTATTCCTTCCCAAACCCTAGCTGTCCTGTGAGTTACCATTTGTTTTTCTAAAATTGTCCCACAGAACTTTCTGCAGGGATTTGTTTTATATCTACACTGTGCAGTAGTAGCCATTAGCTATATGGAGTTATCACTTGCAATCTGATTATACCACTATAAAACAGTAATTTATTGCTGTTGTTGTTGAGACAGGGTCCCTGTCCAGGCATTGAACTCACTATGTAGCCCAGGCTAGCCTTGAACTTGTACTCCTGCCTCAGCGCCCCCCCTCCTCATCCCCACAGTGCTGGAATTATAGGCATGTTCCACCACATCCAGCTTTTATTCCATTGTAGTTCAGCTCCATGTGGCTAGTAGCTCCTGGCAACACAGAACCTTTGAGGTATGCTCTTTCCTTGTAAGAATTTGTCTCCTAACTATCACATGAGAAAATGAATTACACAGGAAGGTGCCTTCTTCCCACCTCCTTAAAATTTCCTACTACTCTTATCTTACCTCCACTCATTCTTTCATTTTATCTCCATTTTGTAAGCCTTTATCTGCATTAGTTCCTGTCTGCATGGAGTTATTAGCCAAATTCTAAGTATCTACAAAGGTACAATTCAGTATTACAAGTAATAGGCAACAACTTAATGCCTGATACTAGTCATAGTAGTCTCATTTTTGTAGGTATAGAAACCAAAGATTAAAAACCACTCCAACATTGTAAATGTGCTCACCGCTATTTATATGTTCATTAGTTTTGTGAACATTAAAGGGCTGACAACTTTACAAACTGCCCAGCACAAAAGGGTACAAACTGTACCATAGCAAAAGGGATTAACACACCAGGAGGACTTAAGGAGACAAAGACTTGGTGGGAATTAATTCTGCTGTAAAGCTTGAGTGCTTTAGATGTCTGGCTTTCCTCCCACCAAAGGGTTCATGGGAGAAGTTTAGCCAGCCCAGAGGCAAAGAATGCTGTTCCCATCCAGTAACAGGAGCTGACAAGGCTCACTAGGCAAGTACTGGGCACCTGTTGTGAAGCCTTTGTTTTTCCTATCATTGAAGCCACTGGGGGGCAGCAAATTCCTGAGATTAGCTGGTTATTAGGAGAATGCTACAGCCAGGGCCAGGGATTCTCAAAACCAACACATTCTGCTTTGAAGATTAGCTCCAGAAGAGCCCTGGGGTAGGTGCCAACTTGGCTCAGAAAGGAATCATGTTTATATAGTTTAAGCAAGTCAGCCTTTGCATAAGACTACTTGTCATCAGGCAAGAATTTGCTACATAAATCCCAAACCCATGATAGTAGGAATGTCCCTCTTAAGTTCTCACAGATGCACACCCTGAACCAAAGAAAATTGTGATCATGTTCCCCTAAATCTTTACTGAGCAAATACATGTCCAGAGTTGCTCCCTTATCTGTGACCCTTATCTTCCACTCTGGTGAAGAATGGTCAGATGAGATTGCTTCATAGTTCTTGTCTTTACTGTTGACCAATTCTAAAACCTTAGGACAAGTTGTCCAAGGAGTATGCTAGGCCAGCAGGTTCTTCTAGGCCCAAGATGAACTAACTGTTGTACAAGCCAGCGCAGCCATCCTGCCCATGAAAGAAAGATCCATGTAGGCCAAACTTGTTGCTCTGGCCTGACCTGATGGCCTAGCTTGAGCACCAAAAGTAGTTGCTTCCACTCTTACAGTCAGTCGGCTGAGCGTCCAAATTGAGGTTGAAGCAGCCTTTCTCCTGGAGTCTTCACTGATGACCACAGGGAGAACACAGAAGTCCGACAAGTACCAAGCTCTTCCTGAGACTATAGCCCCACCAGGCCTCTGGCAAGGGAAGGCCAGCAGAAGAGGAGTACACTACTCCCATAATTTAGAATAGCTAGGAGTGTAAACAAAGCCTGGTACCCGGGACAGAAGAGAGGATACAGCCTGGCATGGGTTTTTCAGAAAAGAAAATACTTCCAGCACCAGGGTGGGCTTGGGTCTGCACAGCAGTCCCTCACACCTGCCCGTACAGAGAGGAACAAGTATTTGATGACTTGGGTTGGTAAGATGCTCTTCAATTCACTGACAGCTGCTAGATTTCAGGCGAGCCACCTGAGTTCCAGAACATTATAGTGCTCAGTGTTCATACCAAAAACTCAGAGATTTACTATCAACTAGAACAAAGACCTAATGTCTCAATAAAATAAAGGATTATCTTTCAAAATAGTGTTACTAGATTTCTGACTCATAAATTTGTTCATCTGTCCTTGCTGGACCTGAGTCGGGTGCTAGTAACATGTTGATCTATATATACTAATGATGTAACAGGTATATGATTTTTTTAAAAATTCTTCAAGTTCAGCTTTGCAGGCAAAACTCAACATATTATGAGAAATTCAGTGTAAAATCTGTTGTCAAAATCATGTCTGGAGCCAGAAAGACTCAGTTTTAGGTACTTTGAATTTTTAACTATAACCTATTGCACTGAACACTAATCTTTTGCAGAACTAGTGTTCCACATTAACAAATAATGGAATATAGGAGTTTGAATTTGGTGGCAGCCATAGCATGCCCAGAGCTGCTGCTTCTCAGCTGGAGCAGCAAGGTTTTTCCCAGCCTATTTCAGGGCCATGGCCTCCACTGAAGCACCAAGGTTCCAGCTAGAAAGGGTGCGGTTGGGTGGCCAAGACCAACTTGTTATGGAGCCAGAAGCTTTCCTTCTTTCTTAAAGACTATAAGCACAAAAACGATCCAAGCAAATTCAGTCAGGCAGGCAGGACCTCCTCAACAAGGTGGACAATCTGTACACAATGAGATCCTACACCTCTCTGAGCGTAGGGACCCACAAACGAGAGGTCAACCTTGACAAGAGGGACCTTCAGTGGGCACTGTTGAGACCCTGAAACAATTTCCTCCTGTTGTGCATACCACTGGAGTGTAAAGTTCCAAGACAGGCATTCCTCTTGCAGAATTCAGGAAATGGGACAAACACCTCCTATATTGGTTAATACAGCTTTGCTGTCCATCCTCCATAAAAAACAAACAAAGGTATACAACCCTGTCTCCAGGGAAGAATTTGAGCCAGTGAAAGAAACAGCAGCATTGTAAGTCAGGTGGGTGGATCTGATCAGAGGAAAACGTCCCAAAAAGTAGTTCCTATGTAGACTCCTGGTTTAAACTTCAAACTGTGAACCACCAGCCACAGTCATCAGCCTAGCAGTGCAACTTACCAAGTATTTGTCAGGACTGCCCCTATCCACCAGGAGAAAGACTAACATTCCCCTGCTCTGCAACCTGCCCTCCATCCTGAGCTCCCCACCTTCACGCTGGCCCCAACCCTGAGTATTCTCCCAGAGCTTACCAACAAGTGAGCACTGGCCCTGACCCCCTTACAGAATGAGTCAACAAGCTCCTTTAATTCAGGTATCTGGACTTCGATGGTTGACCCACAAGTAGCCAGCCTTCCGGATCTTGGAGGATGTTACCTCTGGCCTCTAGTCAGTTTTCCTCTCAAGCTTTCTGTCTTCGGTTACATCTAGCTCAGTCAGGACGCAAAAGCAAAGCTGTTGGGTGACTCTGGTGATAGTAGCTAAATGAAAATAGAGAAGCACAGGACATAGCAAGAACATTTAGCAGCTGTCCCAACCTGAACACAGAAGGCTGAAAGCACATCTGTGGCTCCCTCCCCACCTGTGTCTTGGACATCCTGAGCCTGGCTTTGCCCCTTGTTCCCAACAAGCCTCACTGTCCTCCACTCCATCCCCAGATAGTGTCTGAGGTGGGACTGCTCGTCTTCCCAGGTGGCTTACTCTGTCAAGAGCTTTGACTCCAACACTGGACACAAAAATTAGAACTAAAGTGATCGTGTAAAGATCAAAAGTCTGGTGGGGCAGCCAGGTCTCATCCTCCAGAAAATCATGAGTAGGGCAAAGAAAGTTGTTAGCCTCTGTGGGTACACAACCAGGGAGTGCCAGGGCAAGGAGAAGCTCACCCAGGACTTTCCGAACAAAGAGCGGCCTCCGGGACTCTGGCAGGTAAACACCCAGGAAGTAGACAGGAACCCCAGAGAGAGCGATTCCAATGCCAATGAGAGAATCGATGGTATTGCTGAAGAGAGGCACAATCACCAGAAACATGGAGCATATGCAGAACACGATGGGGAAAAAGAGGCTCAGCTGAAATGAGGAGGAGTGAAATATTAAGTAGGGCGGGGTGAAAGAACCGCATGGGCAGGAAGACCCCTTGGGGAGAGGACCCACCCCTCCTACTCTGCACAGAACCACTAACCTTGAGAGGCCGGGACCGCTCGGGCTCCTTCCAGCGGAGGTAGAGCTGTCCGACAACAGAGAGGCCCACAAAGAACCAGTAGCTGAAGCTGAAGTAGTTGATGAGCAGGAAAACATCCTCCACAATGAGGTAGATGAGCATCATTGTGCACTGTCAGGGAGGAGTGGAGTGCAGAGGAGAAGAAAGCGCTGGTACCTGCAGCCCACCCAAAGAGACTTCGCCAGCCAGCAGTCTGTCAGATCTGACCTGGCTTCAGATTACCACAGGTTTCTGGTGAGCCTGGGCGGCGGGTAGGTCCATCCCTCACATTAACCCTCAAGTCAGCATCTCTCCCTCTTCTACAATCATTGCTTCCCTCCTTGTTGCAAATACTTCCATAACAAAGCAGACTCCTCTCCCCTTCTGATGGCAAACAGGGCCACCCTCCCTCCATGCACCAACCTGGGCATGAATCATACCGTGTGCCCCAGGGCGTGCTTAGACCTGGCATGCAAATGGAGGGAATTCCTCCACAGCCATCCCATCATCAGGGCTTTAGATACTCGGAACAGCAGAATGGGTCCATACCCATTGTGGAGAAAGGTTATGGCAGAACTTGCCCTGGTGGGGGGAGTATGAGGAAGCGGGGAATCCTAGAGGACAGAGGTCAGCGACGGCAGTGCTGGGACAAGGATAGGTTTGTTTAAACTTTAAGAACAGAATTCCTATCTTTCCCCCAAATTATCAACAAAGGATTTGAAACAAAAAGTCCGTTCTGCAGAGACAAGGGAAAAGTGGGCTGTGAATGTGTCCTGCTAGTAGAGTGCTTCCCTAGGTGTGAGGACCTAGGTTTGCTCCCTAGCACCATTAAAAAAAACACAATGAACTATTTTTCATAGTAGAGCCTTTCTTTCATAGTAGAGCCTGTTACAGTACAAATGAGAAGCCCTGCCCAGACCTCCCCCAGAAGCGCTTACATTGAACAGTAAAGCAGGGATGGGTGTAAAACGTTTGACATGGATCATGGACAGAAGGTCTGGGAGATGGCCCTCGCGGGAGCCCACAAAAAACAACCTGGAAAGATAAGCAATGTGTCAGCAGAGTTCCTGTACTCAGCCACTTAGCCACGCTCCTCACTCAGACAAATTACACTCAGAATCCCAGGGAAAAAGCAGAGGACAGTCTCTCAGGCTCTGTGCATGCCCAGCCTACTACTCACATTACAGATAGCGCAACCCTCTTCTGGGTGGCAGGTACCAGGCCACTACCCGGGAATGCCCTGCCCTACTGTCATCCACTGACACCCTAAGCTCTAACTGATGGAATTCACCACCCTCCACTTTCCCACTTCTCTCAGCTACAGATACTTACCAACATCCCACAAATGCCAAATGCTGCCATCACTCACTGGCATCCCAATCCGTCTCACTAAGGGTATGTCCACTCTGACATCCCACAAATTCACAGTAACGTTATTCGCACTAACACAGAAGGTCCTTCAGAGGCTAGGGTGTAGCTCAGTAGAAGAGCAGTTGCCTATCAGTGCAAGGGCTTGTGTTTCAATCCCCAGAATGAGAGAAAGAAGAAAGGAAGGGAAGGGAAAAGACAAGGAAGAAAGGAGAGAAGCAGGGAGGGAAAGAAAGGGCAGCCATATTTCTATTTTGCTTTTTTTTTTTTGTTCTGAGACAGGGTCTCACTGTTATTCAGGCTGGCCTTGAACTCACGGTATCCTCCTGCCTCAGCCTCAGAGTGCTAGGATTACAGGTGTGCCCTACCACTTGAGAAGAAGAGAGGGAAGGGGACAGGAGGGGAGAGAAGAAACCTTCTTCGAAAGTATTGGATGTCACCAGGCACAATAGTGCACACTTGTAATCCCAGCACTCAGGAGGCTGAGGCAGGAGGACTGCCATAACTTCAAGGCCATCCTAGACTACACAGTTAGTTCAAGGCCAGCTTGAACTACATAGCAAGACCCTGTGTCAAAAAACGAAACCAGGGGCTGGGGATTTAGCTCAGCGGCAAAAGCGCCTGCCTGGCAAGCGCAAGGTCGTGAGTTCGGTTCCCGGTACCAGAGAAAAACCAAAAAAAAAAAAAAAAAAACGAAACCAAACCAAAAGGTATGAGATGTCACAGAAAACATGTCACTAGTTTCAGAGAGAAAATGTGGTATTTCTTCTTCAATGGTCTAGTAGGCTAAGGATTAAAACCAGGCTAAGGAGAAAGTACCCTAATAGTGTTTTTCAAGTAATAAAGGCTAAGGCATAACAAAATTAAAGAAAGTTAAAATGTAGAGTACTCTCTCAAGAAGTGCACCCAGAAGAGGGGCATGTAGTGTCACAGTACAGCACGTGCTTAGCATGTGCAAAGCCCTGGGTTCCATCCCCAGCACCAGACAAACACTAAGTGAATCCAGTACGAGGAAAAGGGGAGGTGTGACTTCTTTGCATGGAAACAAGAGAAGCTTGAGGAGAGCTGACTTCAAGTGAACATCCAAAGAGAAGGGCCAAATGACGCACAGTGGTGAGGAACAGGGCAAGTGCTGAACCCCTGTAAAGGCGGACCTGCTCCTTGCTCCCAACAACAGGACGGGCAGGTCCTCTTGTAAACAGGTCTTTGCACAGACAGGGCAGCAGGAGCCTACTTTTCAGCCTCGGTGTTTTCTGTGAAGTGCGGGACTAAGTCATCCTACTCACAAGCTGTCATCTCCCTCCTTTCTATCCTTTACAATCTGTGTTCATGTGCTCACAGAAAGGCAAGCACATGCGCACGCATGCGCACACACACACACACACACACACACACACACACACACAGTCACACTTGCCTACCTATGCGAGGGAGAAGGGAAGAGAGAAGCTCTTATGCCTGGAGCTCCAGAGAATTAAATATCTCAGTCTATTATCAGTAAAGCAGAGGTACAGTACCTTGATGAGGCGAAGATAGATGCGTTGAGGCCCCCAAAGCAAGACAGGGCAACAGCAATGGGGATGATCCAGCTGAACATCCCAAACGTCTGGTCAGCAAATGTCTGGGGGCAGAGCACAGAATGCAGTCCACCAGGTCTCGCTTTGTAGTGCAGGATAGACTTGAATTCACTATTTAGCTTAGACTGGCCTTAAACTCGAAGCACTCCTCCTGCCTCAGCCTACTGAGTACTGGGATTACAGGCACGTGCCACCACGCTCTGCAGGACAAGGATTTCTAATCTTCCCACATCTATACTCTTAGGGCAAACACAGGCACTACTGCGGAGCCCACCCCCTGACCCAGACCCATCCCCTTGTCCTCCAGAGTTGCACTGGCTGCAGAGAGAGACTGGGCTATTCAATGGGGCTAAGTATCATGAGATGATGCCCAAATGAGGATCCCAAGAGACTCACCACAGCTACTGCGTCGCTGTTAAGGACATCTGAAATGCTCATCACTGAGTAATAGGCCACGTTGGTCAGGATGTAGATTAGCGTCACAATTGGCATAGAGATCCCAATAGCCAAGGGCAGATTTCTGTCAGGACAAGTAACAAAGGACTACCTGGAATCAACCTCTCCTGGGATCACAGTTCATCAAGTCCCCATTGGAATTTTCCTAACATTTAACAGTTCACTGGCCTCCAGGTCTTTCACACAAGATCGGCATGCACTTGTAGCCTAGGGTAGGTCCACATCACATGCCCCTGGGTTCTTTCCACTAAAGGAGACAGAGAGCTTCCTCTGTGAAGATGGCTCATAACCAGTATTTAATTCTTGCCACAGTAGGGCCAATGAGTCCCACTGGGTTTCATAATCCTCCTGCATCTATGACATCAAGACAAATGTAAAGATCTTTGGGATCTAGAGGCCAGGCTGGGGACCCAGCTGGCCGGAAGCAGCTCTGGTTCCACAGGGTATAGTCTCAGGACCACAGTACGAGTCCTGCACCTCAGCCCCAGCTGGATCTGCTGCTGCTCACGGAAGACCCTGCCTCTAGGAAAGAGCCTGAGGACCCTCCACTGGGAACATGAGGGGAAAGCCAAGGCTTTCCCATCCGTCCTCACTCCCACCCTAGCCCCCACCCCTCCTAACTGGAGAAGGGGGAGTAGGGAGAAAAATGGGGTGAGAGGCCGAGGGAGGAGGTGTCGGGGCGAATGTGCCCACTACCAGCAGGAGTTCCAGCCAAGGTAGGGAATGGGAGTGTGATCTCGCCTTTACCTTTCTGGGTTTTCGATTTCTTCTGTTACAAAATTAAGGGTGTCCCAACCTGAATATGAGAAGAGGGCAGAGTACAGGGAAAGAGAGAGGTTTCCCACATTCCAGAAGGAACCCTCAAAGGCGCCTTGAAAGTGTTCAGAGTGTCCTGTGGGGGCAAAATTAGGTGGGGGTTCAAGGAGAAGGACGAAAAAAAAAAAAAAGGAGAAGGATGAGGTCAAAGGAGAAGAGGGGAAGACAGAAAAGTAGAAGAGGAAAGAAGATAAGGAGGGGCAAGAAAAGAAAGAAAAAAAATAGGGCAAAGGGAAGAGAAAAAAAAAGTCATTTAATACCAAAACAACAACCATCATCAACTCTTTGCACCTCAGCCCTCCCCGCCATTCCCTCAGGAATGCTAACTGGCTTTAGGGAAACTAGATCACAGCAGAAAAACAAATGCATTCCTGGCTGCCCTCAGATGTGACAACACTTCTTCCTGCAAGTGACCTCACAGCAGGCCACAGCTTTTCTACCTTTTTTCCCCCTGGTACTGGGGATTAAACTCAGGGCCTTCTCACAGAGCTACAGCCCTAACCTTGTCTATCTACTTAGAGAAAAGGTTTCACTAAGTTGCCCAGATTGGACTCAAACTTGGGATCCTGCTGCTCCTCCCTCCCACAGTGCTGGGATTACAGGTCTAAGCCACCACACCCAGCTTCCACCTGTTTTTTGTAACACCACAAGCTGTTACACATAAAGGATTCATTTGCCATTAACAATCAGGCTTTCCTGCAGAAAGTCGTGACCCACCTCACTGCACCTTTCGTCACTTAGGTTTATCAGTCTCATGAAGAGGACTCCGCTGCTTTACTTGCAGCAGTTGTGGGTGCATGGGGCAGGAAACTGTAAACTACAGAAGAATTGAGGTTTTCCTATCTCTCACTGGGCTACCTTGATCCTCCACAAAAACCAAGGCACCTGTCATTCTCCTTAGAGGACTCTGGAGACTGCAGACCTGAAACCCATGGGGCAGCACCTAGCTTCTGGACGCACTGGGGGTTTCTGTTTGTTTGTTTAAGGAACAGGAGGTACTAGGGAACTGGATCCAGGGCCTTCACACTGAACTACATCCACAGCCCTTTTTTATTTTTTTATT